AACACACACACACAACACACACACAAAACACACACACAACACACACACAACACACACACAACACACACACAACACACACACACAACACACACACAACACACACACAACACACACACACAACACACACACAAAACACACACAAAACACACACACAACACACACACAACACACACACAACACACACACAACACACACACAACACACACAACACACACACACAACACACACACAACACACACACACAACACACAAACACAGAGACACACACACAGACACACACACGCACCACATGAACAAGTCTCAATAAGTGCCATACACACCGTAGAACCTCTCTATTCTTCAAGCTTTCAGTTTTCTGCTCGGTGTCCGGATCCCGCTGCCCGCCTCATGTTTTACGGCCTGCACGCCTTGCTCGAAGTTGTTCATGAAATCTTCAATGCCTCGATTCACCATCAGCAATGGGGGTTTTGGCCAACAAAAAGGGGGATTGAATGATGGGAATGATGCGAATGATGGGATGATGAGGTATATTTCATCCACAAATCATGGCAATGGATCCAAACAACAGAGCCCCAAAACAGGATGGTGTAGTACCCAAAACAATGAGCGAGATCTGCGAGTTGTCGGTCTGTGTTTTTGATCCACATCCATGTGACACCGAAAAAGGCACTGAAAACAAAGCAACTGTGTACAAGTTTGAAATTTGCCACACACACACAGAGATCTTCCTGAATGAAACTGTCCAGCAGAGTGCTAAACGTAGTAACACAGATTAACACAGTAAGTATTGGTGGCACTGTTTGCAATCCATGTGCAGTACATGACATGATTGACATGTTCTACTCTACTCATTCAACACGCCGGCCTGAGACTGCTCTTGCTGGACTCCAGCCCCTGTGTCCATCAAATCCGCCATGGCCGCCGTGGGAAGGCATCGCAGTGAAACCTGGGTCGCTGGGCACGGATTCCTAAGCCCCTAAGCCTTTCTCGGATGTTTTGAGATACCAGGACATGTCCAGTCATTTAGGTCATGGGTTGATCATTTTGAAAAAGGTCCGCGTTCAATTCCGACAAAAACACCTATTCCCCGATTAGTCTCTGCCTCTCCGTCAAGGTTCTTTCCCATCAACGCTACAGTTTAAGTAGAACAACTAACTTCATTGCTGGGGAATTCATTAACAAAAACATGAATTCTGAACAGATAAACATAGACTATACGTAGACTAGACATAGACTAATCCCAATTAATCAATAGCACATCAACTATCTCATACTGTCTTGAACTGCTCCAATCATCTTGTTGCAATTCATGTTGCTGAGACGTCTCGGATGCATATCGAGCGAATCATCATCGGCGGTCCAATGTTCCTGCCGTATCTGCATGATGCATGATGAATAGTAACAGCATACACACCATGAATGCCAATTATATCTACGAATATCTACCAAGAACATAGACAGCAAAGTATGAGATTTATTGAGGTTTCTGTTTTCTGTCCTCCTCAGAGTTTCAGTCCATTTTGGAAAAGTGACTAAGACAATGAACATATGATTATTGAGCACTGCTGGTATATTGAAATACCTCAAGCAAAGCTAGAGTTTCTCTGGTTTCTCGTGCTGATGCTATTGCATTCCTATGATTCCTATGCTTTCTTCTGACACCATCAACAGAAGCACTTCCCCTCAGACCACCCAGCATCAGGAGCATTGCCGATCTACAGCCATCTGAGCCAAATAATTATCATCTTCTGATACCCGGCTACCCGTTTTTTGATGTCATTTCTGCCAAATTCATGTCGTTTTTGGGATGATTTCACCAACGAAACTATTATTCCTGCTCCGCCATGAGGTCATGATCATTCATGATTGATATAGGGACTTTTAATAACATATGTACATATATTATATATAGAAAGTATATAATAGAATAGAATATAATATAATAATATAATATAACATAATATAACATAATATAATATAACATAACATAACATAATAGAATACAATATAATATAATATAACTTAATATAATATAACATAATATAATATAATATAACATAATATAATATAATATAACATAATATAATATAATATAATAACATATAATGTATATAATTATATAAGATATTATCAAATACCCTGATATGTATAGATAGATAAATCGATATTCCCAGCTATAAACCTCACTTCATAGAGATTTTTCCAGCTATACACTATACAGCACATTTGATTACCGGAGGGTAGATTGATGGCCTGTTGCTCCTCTGGATCACTGAGCAGTGCTTCCCGTGCGCTCAGCACGGCGCTGCTTAGAATCAGCAGAAATGCCGCCAGTGCAATCCAAGAGCCCTGAGAATGCAGAAGATTAGTTGGAAAAAGTATAAGTTCCCAATCAATTGGAAATAAGTTGGCAATCAGTTCATATAGTGGGAAATTTAGGGCAATATGGTAATCTATGGAATGTTATAGCTGGAATCGTACTTTTTTGCCGCTCATTCTCAAGTAATCTGGTAATCCAGTAAAACCTGGTAATTAATTAATTATTACCTCTCGCAATCCAGCAATCTAGCTCAGCAACGAAAATCCACCACTTGTACGGAATGCATTTCCTGTCAAAACATGATTTTGCCCGGGATTGGGGTATAAAAGCAATTCCCAGCACACTTTGGGATCGACCAACAGGTCTAAGAAACACCCACAACCTCGGTTTGGGGTCAAAAATACGAAACTCTCAGGAACGAAAATGGAGAAAACAATCTTTTTTTTCGGGATTTACACAGTTTTTCTGCTGTTCGAAGTCAAAGAAAAGTCTTGGCTTCTCATTGCTGTCATTTGCCTGCCATTTTTGCTTCCAGCTCCACATCCTACACTGTTCATCCACTGCCTCCCCAAGGAAGCGCCCAGCGGAGTCTTCCAGCCATGCTAGGAGTACTGACAGAGATGCCATGATCAATGCCTCAACCGCCGCTGCAATGATCGATGATTTTGATGGCTGGTTTTGATGGTTTTCGATGGCTTTGGGGTTCTCTGCAGATTCAACCATATGTTCCGTTTTTTTCTACTCATAACATCCAACAACCAACGAATTTTTCAAGTTTACCAGCCATCACCAGAATTCGCTGAAAGGGACAACTCCTTGGCCGAACCAGGTGAGAAGTCGGACGGAGGACATAGAGATCTTGACCTCGATTTTTGATGATTTTGGGATGCAAGATTTTCAGGGATGGAATATCCTGGAAATACTGCTATAATATGGCTATAATATATATATATATATGGCTACATGCTGAAACTACCCTGAAATATGAATTCCTGTGATTTTTGAAAGGTTGTCCATGGATCAGGATTGCAAGTTCACGACGATGGAACAAATTCATGCTACATACACATTGAAATATAACAGTGAAGGACAACATGTCCTCTGTCAAGTTGCCAATGTGTTGCCGAGTATTGAGTGGAAACCCACCTTGTGAGCTTTGAATACATACATAATATAATATCATTATATATAGAATATCAATACACGCATAGTTCACATGGGTCCACATGCGGAAACCCAACATGGAACGCTTTACTGGACAAACACATCAACAACCTGTGGTTGCCAAATCTATGCCAGGTGACAGGACAAAGACCTGTTGCGATGACCGAGACATCCCACACAAAGAGATGTTTTTGCCTCAGCTGAAGGAGTGTCACACAGATACACAGGAGCTCTGGCAGTCTGAATCTACTCGGTACTCGTTTCTTGTCCATGTATGTTTCCATGGCATTGCATTCCATTTCTTCCAACCAAACAAGTTTGTTCAAATCCTGAAAGGGCTTACATTAAAATATATCTTGGCACAGGCCTTTTGATGTTTATGGGACTTTCAATCTCAACTTCTTGGGAACATCTTCGAAGCAACGACATGCAAGCCGGGGTTGAGCTACCCTACAAGAAACAAACGTGAACATTTTTGAAGCGGAACCCTAAAAAAAGGAGATTCCCATTGACTCTGGGTGATTTCTGATATTTCTGATTTCTAGAAAGCCATGGTTGCTTCAAATAAGCCAGCACTGATGACTTGACTACTCCCTAGAGTAGTACTCCAATCTGGCCATGGGTTATTCACAATCTCCATAGATAATTTTTTTCAGTCCAAAGTCCATCATGTTCCCATGATTTTCCCACCATTTTCCCCTGAACAAAAAACAAAAACGGCGTGTCTTTTCTCCCGCCAAGTTTCTCCACTTGCAGTTGCAAGTTCGGCGCCATCCGCCGTGCCCAGCCAGTTGGAGCCAGATCGTCCTGTAGACCCGAACCATAGGGGGCCTAGGGTTTGGGAAACATATGGGAAACTATAGGAACATGATCAAACACATGCCATATTTCCTGGATTTACTCTTGATACTTTTGAATTTTGTTTTATCGAGATTCAATTTAACAGTTTTCAACCATTCATATCTGTTGCTTTTGTTGTAGGATCAAAAGCAGCGGACAGGATGAACGCCAGCAAAGAAAATTGATGGGTTGGCTCCCTCTGGTCTGAGACGGATAATTTTCAGCTATCTCACACCAGCCGAGCTGGCTGAACATGATAAACAACCCCTCAAATCACTCTCACGCTGTCATTCTCGTCCTGCAGATCCAAATATCCAGACTGCACATCATCCAGCAGCCCAACTGGGGTCCCTTCTCTCCTCAGTTTCTTTCACGGCGCAGTTCACTGGGATGCCTTACATCCCAGTTCGACTTAAATAAGTACTGTATTTACTGATCGGATAGACTAATTAAGTAGTTGGTGCATGATACACATACTAAGTGAAGACATATCATACATTCTTAAAATTATTATACCCTTTGCAAAATCTCCCTAGAAACCATTCAACACTGTCAAGCCACCAAGTGTTTCCAAAGAAACCGGCAGTGCCCAAGAAGTTGGTGACCCCTGAGCTGATCGCTGACCTGCAGTGGGGAATTCCATTGTTGTTTCTCCGCTTCATCCCCAGGAAAAGAAACATGTTTTGAAAGAAAACATCTGGATCCAAAACATATTTTTATAACAAACATTCTTAATTAATCATGATTAATCATGTTCAAAGGAACTTTGGATAACTTTGCAGGATCCCTTTTTGCAACATCGGGGAGATTTGGGGGTGAACATCTCCCAAAATGCGGAGATATCAGCCAATCAAAATCAGGCGTATAACCGTATAACTTACAAACGATGTTTGGTTAATAAGGGTTAAGGTTAAGGGATCACTTAGAGCACCGGATCACTTAGAGCACCATGGGATCACTTAGAGCACCAGAGAATGATACCTTTGGGGTAACAATTGGGGACACGGGGCTGGGACATGGAGTCAGGCACAGCAACCTCATCATCTTTCTTGCTGTCCAGCAGACACACGCACTGCACTGCTCTTTCATGATCAGTTACCCGTGGGGTGGGGTGGGGTGGGGTGGGGTAATAACGTTCATGTTCCTGTGCAGACACAGGCAAGGCGTTCCACGTCGTAACATCTTCGTCAAGTGACTTGCAAGACATTCCTGATACGTTGTAACATCTTCGAGAAGAGCCCTTCTGAACGACAACGGGCTCCACGGGCTCCACGGGCTCCGCGGGCTCTACGGGCTCTACAGGCTCCATGGGCTCCACGGGCTCCACGGGCTCCACGGGCTCCACGGGCTCCACAGGCTCCACGGGCTCCACGGGCTCCACGGGCTCCACGGGCTCCACGGGCTCCGGGCTCTGCGGGCCTTGCGGGCCTTACGGGCTCTACGGGCTCTACGGGCTCTGCGGGCCTTGCGGGCCTTACGGGCTCTACGGGCTCTACGGGCTCTACGGGCCTTACGGGCCTTACGGGCTTTACGGTTACAGAAGAATGGAAAGATTCGAACGTACTCAACAGTTTCACAACAGAAAGTGAAACTCTCTAGATCTGAGCGAAAGGCAACAAAAATGCTGATTCATGTGGTAAGCAACAGATACACCCAACGATCAAAAAAACATTTGTCAATAACCCAAATGGAGAAATATCGGGCTCAATTCCTACTAAGTTACAATGAATTTTTGATGCACTAGTATTTAACAATACTAAGTATCTAACTCTTTGACTATAATTCAATAAAGATACTCGGCACATATAGATAGATAGATAGATAGATAGATAGATAGATAGATAGATAGATAGATAGATAGATATATACATACATCTATACTTGAAGAATAGCAAGGCATATACATACAGATACTGCTTCTGTGGGAATTTCTCGCAAGTCTCCAGAAAACGGTTTGTGTTGGACACGGCAGCAAACGGACACTATCTTTGAGATGGCGCACTGGTCTCTTGTCTCTCAGCAGCTCTCATCAGCGAATTTGATCCCTTATGAAGATAAAGATCATGTTATTACCCCAATCGACATACTGTTCATATGGGGTGGCTAATTTTGATCCCTTATGAAGATAAAGATCATGTTATTACCAGAATCAACATATTCATTTCCCTTTGAGGCCTCTAACGCCTGCAGAGACATGGCTGTGTCTCAAAATTGTGTATGGAACGTTCAGCGGCGTTCAGGACGCATGGAACGAAGGTGCTTCGTAACTAGTCTTGTTCCGAACCTTTGGAGTGTGACGACATATAGGAAATACAGAAATAAACAAATAACTACATTTAAAAAACAATAAATTTAAATTATATATATATATGTATGTATATTTATATGTATATCATACACGGTCATATACATGTCAAGGGTATGCATGTTGAAGGTACTCACGCTAGCTGTCTCCCATTTTCACTTCTCATCTGCACGACATCCTTGTTGTACACCTGTTCAACGCAGGTTTGCATTGGATGGCTAGTGCTCGTGCACTAGCTAGGACACAACCGGTAGCCATGAGTATTTGACCCTTCTGAACGACAACGGGCTCCACGGGCTCCACGGGCTCTACGGGCTCCATGGGCTCCACGGGCTCCACGGGCTCCACGGGCTCCACGGGCTCCACAGGCTCCACGGGCTCCACGGGCTCCACGGGCTCCACGGGCTCCACGGGCTCCGGGCTCTGCGGGCCTTGCGGGCCTTACGGGCTCTACGGGCTCTACGGGCTCTGCGGGCCTTGCGGGCCTTACGGGCTCTACGGGCTCTACGGGCTCTACGGGCCTTACGGGCCTTACGGGCTTTACGGTTACAGAAGAATGGAAAGATTCGAACGTACTCAACAGTTTCACAACAGAAAGTGAAACTCTCTAGATCTGAGTGGTACGGATCTGGAACGGGTATGGAACAGGGATTGGAACGAAACGACCCACTCCAGCACCTATGTTGTAACGTCTTCTGTAAGTAAGTTGCAAAACGTTCCTGATACGTTGCAACATCTTCTTCAAGTAACTTGCCAGATGTTCCTGATACGTTGTAACATCTTCTGTGCGTGACTTGCAAGACGTTCCTGATATTTGTAAACTCTTCTTCAAATAACCTGCCAGATGTTCCTGCTACGTTCAAACATCTTCATCAAGTCACTTGCAAGACGTTCCTGCTAAATTGCAACATCTTCTTCAAGTAACATCCAAGACGTTCCTGATACGTTCAAACATCTTCATCAAGTCAACGTTGCAACATGTTTGTTATGTAACTTGCAAGACGTTCCTGCTAAATTGCAACATCTTCTTCAAGTAACGTGCCAGATGTTCCTGATACGTTGTAAACTCTTCTTCAAGTAACTTCCAAGACGTTCCTGATACGTTGGAACAACTTCTTCAAGTAAAAGCAGATCGCATGGAATGTTATCTCATGCTTCCGAGACATATGACTGCATCCATTTATGCGTCTATATGGCTCTGCGCATATATGGAACTCCAGCGCTATGTCTCTCTTATGTTTCTTTTCGGCGCTCCAAGCGAACCCCCGACCTTATAAAGGGGTCCTCATAATCACAGCCAGGCAGCTCTTTTCGGCCTTTGCCAGATTAACAAGTCCCTTCTGGACAGCCGAATAATACCTAAGACTAATTAATGAACTAGACGACGGTTGGCCCGAGAGCGAAAAAGCCGTTTTTCAAGCAGCTCTGAGTATGGTAGTCGTAAAAAATAGTCGGTGATAGGTTGGTGAATTTTATATGAGCTATGGAGGGGTAAGTTGTGAAAAGTAAGATTGATTAAGAGGATACATGTGACAACCCATGCATATGCACTGTGCTGCTTGGTAAAGGGCATCATATGACACGTGTCTTGCAACCACAGAGAGACATAGATAGAGAGAAAGAAGAGAGAGAGAGAGAGAGAGAGAGAGAGAGAGAGAGAGAGAGAGAGAGAGAGAGAGAGAGAGAGCAGGGTCTTCTGTTGTTAGTATTGAGACACTATATTGCAAGACAATATATTAAAGATGTATTTTAGGCAGGCGAGACAAGTAGTATCAAGACAATATATTACAAGTACAAAACGCTAGTTTGCATCCTATCCTTCGTATTGTTTTTCACACGCAGACGCTTTTGCACAGAAGCTGTTACACACAGACGCATTTACACACAGACGCTTTTACACACAGAAGCGTTTACACACAGACGCTTTTACACACAGAAGCTTTTACACACAGAAGGTTTTACACGCAGACACTAGACACTTTTACACACATAGGCTTTTACACACAGACGCCTTTACACATAGACACTAGACACTTTTACACGCATTGGCTTTTACACACAGACGCTTTTACACGCAGATGTTTTTAGACACACACACTTTCACACACAGAAGCTGTTACACACAGAAGCTTTTACACACAAACACTTTCACACACAGAGGCCTTTACACAGAGGCTTTTACACACAGACGACAGAAGCTTTTACACACAGACTCCTTTACACACAGACGCTTTTACACACAAACACTTTCACAGACGCGTTTACACACAGAGGCTTTTACACACAGACGCTTTTACACACAGACACTTTTACACGCAGACGCTTTTATACACAGGCGCTTTTACAGGCAGATGCTTTTACACACAAACACTTTCACAGACGCGTTTACACACAGAGACTTTTACACACAGACGCTTTTACACACAGACACTTTTACACGCAGACGCTTTTACACACAGGCGCTTTTACACACAGGCGCTTTTACACGCAGGTGCTTTTACACACAGAAGCTTTTACACAGACACTTTTACACACAAACGCTTTTACACACAGACCCTTTTACACACAGACCCTTTTACACACAGACGCTTTTACGCACAACACTTTCACACACAGAGGCTTTTACACACAGAAGCTTTTACACACAGAGGCTTTTATACACAGAAGCTTTTACACACAGAGGCTTTTACACACAGAAGCTTTTACACACAGACGCTTTTACACACAGACGCTTTTACACACAGACGCTTTTACACACAGACGATTTTACACACAGACACTTTTACACACAGACGCTTTTACACACAGACCCTTTTACACACAGACGCTTTCACACACAGACACTTTTTCACACAGACACTTTTACACACAACACTTTCACACACAGAGGCTTTTACACACAGAAGCTTTTACACACAGAGACTTTTACACACAGACGCTTTTACACACAAACGCTTTTCACACAGACGCTTTTACACACAGAAGCTTTTACACACAGACTCCTTTACACACAGACGCTTTTACACACAGAAGCTTTTACACACAGAAGCTTTTACACACAGACTCCTTTACACACAGACGTTTTTACACACAGACGATTTTACACACAGACGCTTTTACACACAGACGCTTTTACACACAGACGCTTTTACACACAGACCCTTTTACACACAGACACTTTTACACAACATTTTCACACACAGAGGCTTTTACACACGGAAGCTTTTACACACAGGCGCTTTTACACACAGACGCTTTTACACACAGACGCTTTTACACACAGACGCTTTTACACACAGACCCTTTTACACACAGACGCTTTTACACACAACCGCTTTTACACACGACACTTTTACACACAGACACTTTTACACACAGACGCTTTTACACACAGACACTTTTACACACAGACACTTTTACACACAGAGGCTTTTACACACAGGTGCGTTTACACACAGAAGCTTTTACACACAGAACTTTTTACACACAACACTTTCACCCACAGAGGCTTTTACACACAGAAGCTTTTACACACAGGTGCTTTTACACACAGACGCTTTTACACACAGACGCTTTTACACACAGACGCTTTTACACACAACCGCTTTTACACACGGCACTTTTACACACAGACACTCTCATCACACAGACGCTTTTACACACAGACACTTTTACACACAGACACTTTTACACACAGAGGCTTTTACACACAGGCGCTTTTACACACAGACGCTTTTACACACAGACACTTTTACACACAGGCACTTTTACACAAACGAAAGCGTCCATCGCAATTTTACCTCAGTTTTTAACGTCCAACGTCCATTTCGTGCGTAAGGGCTGCGAATAACAAAGTAAAGTCGCAATTTTTCCTCAGTTTTTGACGTCCAACGTCCATTTCGTGCGTAAGGGTTGCGATTGACAAACTAAAGTCGCAATTTTTCCTCAGTTTTTGACGTCCAACGTCCATTTCGTGTGTAAGGGTTGCGATTGACAACTCAAAGTCGCAATTTTTCCTCAGTTTTTGACGTCCAACGTCCATTTCGTGCGAAAGGGTTGCGCGCGACACCTCAAAGTCGCAATTTTTCCTCAGTTTTTGACGTCCAACGTCCATTTCGTGCGAAAGGGTTGCGCGCGACACCTCAAAGTTGCAATTTTTCCTCAGTTTTTGACGTCCAACGTCCATTTCGTGCGAAAGGGTTGCGCGCGACCAATAAAAGTCGCAACTTTTCCTCAGTTTTTGACGTCCAACGTCCATTTCGTGCGAAAGGGTTGCGCGCGACCAATAAAAGTTGCAATTTTTCCTCAGTTTTTGACGTCCAACGTCCATTTCGTGCGAAAGGGTTGCGCGCGACCAATAAAAGTTGCAATTTTTCGTCAGTTTTTGGCGTCCAACGTCCATTTCGTGCGAAAGGGTTGCCGGCGACGCTTCAAAATCGCAATTTCACCTAGGTTTTGGACATCCAACGTCCATTTCGTGCGAAAGGGTTGCGTTTCGTGGCGCTCCGGCGGCACCGCCCCCGCCTTAAGAGAGAATAGAAGAAGAGCGAGAAGAGATCTGCAGATGTGAAGGTGTGAAGATCTAGCTCTGCAGGTGTGAGGGTGTGAAGATCTAGATCTGCAGGTGTGCGGGTGTGATGATGTAGATCTGCAGATGTGAAGGTGTGAAGATCTAGATCTGCAGGTGTGAAGGTGTGAAGATCTAGATCAGCAGGTGTGAAGGTGTGAAGATGTAGATCAGCAGATGTGAGGGTGTGAAGATCTAGATCTGCAGATGTGAGGGTGTGAAGATCTAGATCTGCAGATGTGAAGGTGTGAAGATCTAGATCTGCAGATGTGAGGGTGTGATGTAGATCTGCGGATGTGAAGGTGTGAAGATCTAGATCTGAGGTGTGAGGGTGTGAAGATCTAGATCTGCAGGTGTGAGGTGAGTAGATCTGCTGAAGATCTAGTGCAGGTGTGAAGGTGTGAAGATCTAGATCTGCATCTGCAGATGTGAGGGTGTGAAGATCTAGATCTGCTAGATCTGCAGGGTGTGAAGATCTAGATCTGCAGATGAGGTGTGAAGATCTAGATGCTGCAGATGTGAGGGTGTGAAGATCTAGATCTGCAGGTGTGAGGGTGTGAAGATCTAGATCTGCAGGTGTGAAGGTGTGAAGATCTAGATCTGCAGGTGTGAGGGTGTGAAGATCTAGATCTGCAGGTGTGAGGGTGTGAAGATGTAGATCTGCAGATGTGAGGGTGTGAAGATCTAGATCTGCAGGTGTGAGGGTGTGAAGATCTAGATCTGCAGATGTGAGGGTGTGAAGATCTAGATCTGCAGGTGTGAGGGTGTGAAGATCTAGATCTGCAGGTGTGAAGGTCTGAAGATGTAGATCAGCAGATGTGAAGGTGTGAAGATGTAGTATAACGGCTGCTTTTTTACGAAGAACCCTTCGCAGGCGCTCTCGGGAAAAACATTGAACCACATACCACTACATCCTAATGAACCGAATCACGAGCAGTCAAGAAAGAATGCAATACAACCATCTGGATACAAATCAACTAAGTGTTCACAGTCAACCTCTACAAATCAAATTAGATCAATTCGCTGCCAGGTATCAACCCCTGCCAGCAGTTCTTCACAATTTGAAATCATAATTCTCATTCTCTCATTCTCTCATTCTCTCATTCTCTCATTCTCTCTCTCTCTCTCTCAGTTTCAGCGCGCTAAATACCACAACCACAACCAAGTTTGGCAAAACTTGACACCATCTGGACCCGAGCAAAGTATGGTTTCACGCAGCACTGCCAAACCCAGGTAATTTTCGGATGGTTCCCCGCTCTGGAAAGTGACTTGGGGACAGGCTGGGGTTATCCTCCTTTTCTTGGGAATCCTCATTGTACCCATAGTGCCATCGTGCTGGCAAAAGTGTCATTTTTTGTTGTTGAAACATCTTCTATCACCCAAAAATGTTGTCGAACCATGATTGATAACCTCCCAAAAAAACATTCATGTCACTCTCCCCAATCCCCTCCCAAAAAAAGCCTGATAGAAACCGCGAACCAGAATGCATCTTTTTAAAAGTTCACGTAGAAGAAGGGTTCCTACAGAACAATGAAAGGCGAACAGGAGATGCTCGATTGCATAAAAAACAACTCTTGCAGAACACGCTTGCTTGACACTCTTCTCGGACAATCGTGTGGGACACTCTTTTGTGACACTCTTGTGGCATACTCTTGTGGGGCACTCTTGTGGGGCACTTTTATGGGACACTCTTGTGAGACACTCCTGACACTCTTGCTCGACACTCTTGTGGCACACTCTGGTAAAACACTCTCTCTCAATACTCTGAAACACTCTTGCAAGACACTCTTGTTGGATACTCTTGCTTGACACATCTAGAACACCTCACAATACTACTTTGTACTAAAAAGCGTCCACACAGTACCTCACAGTCCTACTTTATACTGCAAATCTTGCACAGAGTAATTCCCAGTACTACATTGTGCTACAAATCTTGCACAAGGCACTTCCCAGTACTACTGTGTACTACAAAGCTTGCACAAGGCACTTCCCAGTATTACTTCGCACTCTAGACTCCACACTCCACACTTCACACTCCATTTCACACTTTGCACCCTGCACTCCACACTCCACACTCCACACTTCACACTTCACACCTCACACTCCACACTTCACACTCCACACCTCACACTCCGCGCTCCACACTCTCCACTCCACACTCTGCACTTAACACTTCACACTCCACACTGCACACTGGACTTCACACTCCACACTTCACACTGCTCAGCACTTCGCACTTCACACTCTCCACTCCAGACTCTGCACTTCACACTCCACACTTCACACTGCCCACCTCACACTGCACACTTCACACTCCACATTTCACACTTCACACTCCACACTTCACACTTCCCACTCCACACTTCAGACTGCTCACTTCACACTTCACACCACTCAGCACTCCACACTTCACACTCTCCACTCCGCACTCCACACTTCACACACCACTCTTCACACTCCACACTTCACACTTCACAATGCACTTTCACATGTCACAACACATCGCCCTTTCTCACTTTGCCCAAAGACAGCACGGCGGCGTAAAACTAGAGCCCCGCGAAGCAACTTTCGCTTGAGTGCCACAAAGTCCCATGCCTGCCCCGCGACACGTAACAACACATCACGTGTTCTCACTTTCCCCATAGACAGTGCGACGACGCGATTAGAGACCCGCGACACGAAAACGACCCGCTTGCAGTCCACCACCCCCAGACCCCCAAGAAAGAAAGCAAGAACCCTTCGCTACGCATTCTGGAAGAGCCAATTTTCTGCACCAAGTGGCATGCCGCCCAGCACTGCGGCGATTCGGGAGCCCGGCACCGAGACCTCCACACAGGCGGCGAAGCTACTCCCGCCACAGAGCCAGCGCGAGCCCTGCGCCACCAGCAGCAACAAACCTGCGCCATGGGGGCCATGGGGATGGGATACCTTTGAACATGAGAATCATGGGAATACCTGTGCTATGTTCATATCTATGTATGACATATATATATATATGTATATATATATATACCAATCACAGTTCAACGACGTGCATGTGAGCACATGCACTGCACTCGGCTGCTGAGCAAACTTTTCATCCTCTGGAGACGTGGGTGATTGAGGATGAAGATGGGTGGATCAGCCCATCAGATCGATGCTGGGGGGATCGACCCCAAATGAAAATAAACAAAAACATCACACATGCAAACAAGGAGTAGATCAACTCCTTCAGCACGAATAAATAAAACCTCACCACAGAATGATCTCTGTCTGATCCAGTGGGGTTCGACCCCTCAAATAAACTGAATGAAAATCAAAATAATCGCAAAGGGAGTAATCAACTCCAGAATCACATCACTCCACTCTGCCGATCAAAAGAGTGAACACCCTTTAAAACCTCCAACCCGCATAATGGCAATGAAAAACCATCATGGGGCTAGAGGTGGGTGGGACAAATCCCAAATGAAATCACTGATCAGATCTTGAGCCAAAATGGCACCAAGAACTGGTCAGTGCCATTGGCTCAACTGAGATGATCAACCTCAATGTTGTGATCACAACAATTCAAATCTCATCAACTGAACCCGATCGGGTACAACAAATAAAATAGAAAAAGAAGATCAGTCGCATCCAGTGCCAAGAACTGTAACATTGATCCACTTATCCCAGACCTACCAACCGATGATAAGTGACCCAATCACAGTTCAACGACGTGCATGTGAGCACATGCACTGCACTCGGCTGCTGAGCAAACTTTTCATCCTCTGGAGACGTGGGTGATTGAGGATGAAGATGGGTGGATCAGCCCATCAGATCGATGCTGGGGGGATCGACCCCAAATGAAAATAAACAAAAACATCACACATGCAAACAAGGAGTAGATCAACTCCTTCAGCACGAATAAATAAAACCTCACCACAGAATGATCTCTGTCTGACCCACGCCGCCTAGAGATCAGGAAAAACCGCTGATATAGTATCCCATCCAAGAGACTGACCAATGCCTAATCTGCTACGAGATGGTGGATCAGCGGGATTGGAATCTGTAGGGACTCGATCGATGTACAGATTAATTTGAACATCAAGAGCCAATTTCCAAAACACTCCTACCAATTCGCAAAGATCTTCACGTGCAGAGTAACCCTTCACTAACGCGCCTTGAACAGGTTCAGAGTCAACAAAGAGCAGGGACCAAGAGTTGGAGATCCAGGGCTTGAAAGTCTGGAGCGCCACGACCGTAGCGAAGAGTTCAACCATGGCGATCTGTGACTTCCGCGGGATCCACTTCTCGATCAAGTCCATGCCCACTATGCATCCGAACTGGATCGGTCTGGCTCCTTTCTTGAACAGGACGCCGCCAATCCAAGGATCTCGCAGGTCGCTCTTCTGATCAGGGAAGCTGCCATCCGTGAAAATGACGTAGTCAGCGGGTCGAGCGCCCGATGCAATAATAGGTCTCGGAGGCCCATGATCAATCAGCAGCTCCCACTGTTTCAGCGCGAGCTTCAGCGCAAGGTTGAGACCAGTCTTTGGGGATCTCGTATACTGCCTCTCCGAGAGAGCTCTCAGAAAGGCCCTGCCAATCTTCCCCCACAACTGGGAAGCGCCAAACATGAGCTTGCCGCGCAAGTTGCCTGCTTGTCCAGGCGACAATATCTCGGAGGAGATGATAGACTTGATCTCGTCCAGCAGTTCCTCCTTTCGCGAAGGTTTGATCCTCAAGCACATAGCTTTCAGATCGTAGGTCACCCCCAAGATCGTCGGGTCCTCGCAGAGCTGGAGCTTCTTGGGGTCGAACTTGGCACCTAGCCACCAGTGAACCTTCTGAGCGATCTCAAAGGCTGAAGAGCAGGTGACGTCGGTTTCGAACCCGTACTTATCATCGTAGAAGTTGAATGCCGCCACGAAAAAGACCCGACGTAAAATGTCGGTAATGGCCGCAGATCTACGATTGTAGTTGTAGACCGCCGCCACCAAACCAAAAGAATGACCAATCATGACAAAGAAGGATATCTTCCCCGTGTCAGGTTCGCGAAGCGAGATCACGCTCCATCTCCGGTGATCAGGGTGGATAGGAATCTGGCGGTAAGCTTTTCTCTCGTCCAGAACCCACCCCTGTAGCCTTGTAGAGCTGGAGCACGAAGACCTCATCCACCTCAAAGCAGACACGTTCGCATCTGTAGATGGCAGCTCGATCTTTTCCAGGATCCTGGAAGCCATGTTGATACCATTGATCGTGGCACTGTCCACTCCTCTGACCTTGTTCTTCTGCACCACTTCGAACCGCTGAGTAGGGATCCAATTTTCAGTGCCGAGGAACACGTCAACCTCGTCTTTAGAGAAGAAAGGACCTGCTGTAACACCTTCTCGAACATCTTCCATAGTCGCCTCCCAGATCTTGGAGGTGTTCTCTGTGACTTCGGATCTTTTCACGTTCCGCAAGACCTTGTTGGAAAAATCCCAGGCCCTCGAAACAAGATCTTGTTCTGGAAGAGCATCATCTGGCAGCGGCAATCGCGGCCAACGAAAAGAGCGCTTGATGTCGCCGACGATGGAGAAGCCATTGATCATCTCGTCCACCAATGAGCTGTCAATACATCGACTGGCAGCGAGCAGCTCTCGCCACAGGGCGACATGCGTGACCGTGCCAAGCTGAGCAGGTTGGTCATCGGGTACTCCGCGCAGTAGCGACCGCAGGTAGGGATCCTGGATAGCACGGAGCTCCAGATCCGTGAGCGGCAAAAGACGCTCAGCCCGCGCAGCCCAGAACTGTAAAGCACCTTGCCGATGACCAAGCAGTTGGTGAGGCTTATGCACGACAAACGCCAAAGCCTCTTGAAGATCAGGATCAAGCGCTGGATCCAAAGTGAAAGGATGGGGAACTTGTAAAGCTTGTTGAACAGCTTGACCAGGTTCCATCTCAACCTGCAAGATCGGCGGTAGAGCCGAACGCTTGAGCTGGTATCCTGCATCACGAGCTTTCTCTGCTGTCGCGCGTTGCTTGTGCACGACCCATGGCAGTGGCTGGCCGAGCGGCCGTTTCCGTTCATGAGCTGGCACGGCCATCTGAAAAGTGGCAGCCAGCGGATCAGCCTGCAGAGATGCGATCACCTTTGCCCATGCTTGACATAGAAGCGTGGGATAGACCTGAGCTAGCTTGGTTTTGAAAATCTTCTTGCCCTTGGACATGACCATGCCCACTAAGGGTTCGTGAACATGAGGCCGCGCGTCTCGATCACAGGAGAGCGCCAGCGCACTGAGGTCGCAATCAGACAAGAGCGCTGTAGGCTTCTTGTGTTTGGATTGGAACCTGCACATGTCCAGATTGAACCGGCCCACTCCGTCACGAGCCGCCAGAGAGCGAACTGGGGGCATGTCCCCCAAGTAAGACGTCGCCAGGTTCTCCAGCGACCAATGAACGCCGAACTGGCAACATAAAACCAAGAGCTTCGCAGTGAGGTCCATGAACTGGTTACCAAGCTCGACTTTTGCTTGATCTTGCTGAGAAAGTGCTGGACGCCCCCACAGGTTGTGTCGATCACGCAACGGTGGGGGGCCGCCATCATCTTTGCGAGCTTGGCTAAAAGAAGAGCAGGGTGTGCCAAAATGAATAAAGAAAATGCACCCTGCTTGAATTAACTTGCACAAATGTTGAAAAACCTTGGGATCCAAAATATCAACCTCTTCGACGACAAAATTGTTGGCCAAGATCTCAATAGGGGGCAGGGTCTTAATGCCACGAGCAATGATGGCTTGTGTCAGCCCTGCCTCCCCTGCGAAGACCTCGACGAAAAATTGCGTGCCGGATGGCACAAAACCGGAGCCCCAGAAAGGCGAGGGAAAAACATTCGAGCAGCATTTGCTGTCAACCGTCTCTACCTCATCCAATGGAGCCATTGGTTGATCAAGAGCTCAGTGATTGCCTACCATGGAGTGAGCGGAGCCGCAGACCATGCACTGGTGCTTGAACCTGCACTTGTCGCCCAAGGAGCATCCCATGGTGGAGTTGAAATAGTGACATCGCTTTGGGCCAGTCACTGAGCTAGCGGCTTGCACGATCGCTTTCCACTCTGTGTCTGGGATCCGCTTGTCCTTGCTGACCTTCTCGTCTCTTGTTGAGGCTGACTTTTTGTCAGCTGGCTCTTTCTTGACTTTGGAATCCTTTGCTTCACGAAGGAGCGCCTTGTTGCGGAGCCGCTGGCGCTTCTTCCGCTCCTTGTTGGGAGAACTCTTGGGCACCGCCTCGACGACCTTGTCTTGCGAGTCGCCTGTCTCGCTGGCTTCCTCTCTGCGCCGATCGACTTTGGAAAGAACTGCCTTGGTTCGGGCGTCGTTCCAAAGGTACTTGTGGTTGTTCAGGACCTCAATGATGGCGTCCTCGAACGTGCCATATAGTTGGCGCTGCTCAGCTTGCAACCTATTGACCTTCTTCCTGATCAAAGAATCTGCAGCCAACAGGTAAGGCAGGCCCGGGCACTCCGAACGAAATTGCTCGAGCTCCTGCATGTAGCGCAGTGGGCCAGCCGCACGAGAATAGGTGCAAATGTTGAGATATTCCAAGGCCATGAAAAAGGCATGGATCCTGTTCATCATGGTCATGGAATCAGTGACCTGATCAGGTTCATCCGCCTTGGATATCGTCAAAAGATCCTCTGCGTTCTTGGAGAGCCCCGACTTCTGCACTATGCTGTCGGAACGTGTCCGGATCTCGGCCACTGAGTAGTACGGCACCATGCCGTGAACCAAGAAATCACGGCTGAGCTTCTCCACGAACTTTTTGTGGGGCTCCTTAGCGTCCAGCAAAATGACATCTGGGTGGGCTTGAACAAACCGCGCTCGGAACTCAGCATGATCTTCTTGCGCCATCTCCGGAACCTTGTTTGGGTCCTCTTCCATGCGCGCCCGCCGGGTGGCAAACTGCCCTTGAAGAGCGTGACATGCATGCCATACTGCTGCGAGCTGCATCAGTGCCAGCTCTCTGGCAGCATCTGTCGTGCCAAGATCTGCCTCGGCGATCATGGTCCTGAGCGAGGTTTTCACTGCCTGTGCAGTGTCTCCCAACATTGCAAAGATTTCCACAGAGAGCAGCCCGCCATCTGCTGCCGAACGGCACAGAGCCTGCGGCAAGCCCATGCGCCCAAAAATTTGCCTAAGCGCGATCTTGGGCGTGTGAGCATCATCAGCGTAGACGGTCCGATCGACCATGTTGGGCACTTGAACCCCTGACAAAAGAAAAGTCCCTCGGCAGAGCACATGGTACAGGCGTGATCAACCCGACTGTGTGCAACATGCCAAGGAACACCTATCCGATCGACGTCGGCCAAAAATGCCGCAATTATGATCAAAACTCTTTAGGTTAATCAAATGGGTAAACATATAAAATAAAGCATCACTGTGGATCCAAATGAACAGTGATCGCAGGAGCCGCACATAAATTGGTGGCTGCCTCCCAGTTTTCCCTTGCCTGCGACCTATATCAAATCTGAGCCTTGCTACGGCACAACTGGCAGATCATGCCAGGCGCATGGCTTCCGACCGAGACGGCATCTCGCATCTTCAGTCTGCCACAAATGGAACTATCTTCGGATTCCCTACGATCAAAAATGTGGCACCTAAAATCTGCTGATACCAGAGCTTTCTCTGGCAGAGTTGCCTTGACGATGAACTCAGTCACGACCGGTTCCGTGACTTCCTCGTCTTCTTCTTCAATGACGAACTTCTCAGGGTCTGGGAGCCATGCGTCTTTGAGCTTGCTCGCCATCTGCTTGACCATGGCCACTGAGAGCTCCTTGCGCTGCCGGGCATACTTCAAGACCAACTGGCTCGGATCTTTCCAATTGGCTTGTAAGCCGACGATCTTGTCGTCAACATCCGCCTTCACTGCCTCCGACAACATGGTGACTCTCATAGAGTGCCAAGTGATCACCTGGATGCTTTCTTCCAGTTGATCAACTTCATTTGCTGCCACGTAGCCGAGCTTGGTTGCTTCTGCAAGGCCTAGGAGCATGAAGTGCTTGAGCCAAGCCAACCCTCTCGAGTATGAAATAGGAGCAGCAGAGAACTCTTTCTCATTCTTGATCTCCCAGATGAAGTAATCCCTCTCCGAGATGAACGGCTGGAAGATCTTCCACCCTTCTTCGAGCCAATCATGGTCCGACATAGAGCATGCGGGCACTGCGAATCTCGTGCCTCGCTTCTTCCTTTCGACCTTGGTCTGCCATACCACACCCAGGAGAGCGTCCTGGTTCATCTGCAGTGATAGCGGGGCCACATGGATCCCGTCGTCGAACCTGAGCGACGCATAGATAAGGATGAGCCCCCACCACACGAAGATCGCTGCTGCGTCCTTCTTCTCCTTGATGAGCTTAATACAAAGGAGCTCTAAGGCAAGAACCATCTTCGGTGGCACTGGGACCGCCTCTTTGAGCTCCTTGCCTCGCAAATTGTAGACCTCATCTATGATGGCCTTGAGCTGTGGATCTGCCATGTTCGGGGTCTGCATGACGAGCCTCTTGCGTATCCACCCCAGTGCGTACTTGAACGCAGGCAAAATGGAGGGACCACACCCCTGATCGCGCAGGTGCAGTGCATATCTCATGACTGCAACGATCGTGGGCGGGTACACGCGTAGTCCGTGGCCGATCGACCACTCTTCAAACTTCTCCCAATAACGAACATTCTGTCTGATGGTGCGGAACCCGCCTGCCTCAAACGCCAGGCTCTTGAGGCGAGCTGCCTCAGCTGGCAGCAGGCCAGCGCACCTCTTTGCATCATTGAGCCCAGAGGCTGCACCTGCGCGCTCGCAGATCTTCTGGAGCCTGAGCCCCCACTTCTTCCTTTCAGAAGCCTCGACCACCTGGATAGATGGAACTTCCTCTGTCGGTCCCTGACCCGAAGGTCTGGCTCCGACTACCAGAGGAGCTGGCGTAGGAAGCGGGCCGGCCACAGGCTTACGCTTTGCGCCGATCGACGCCGGCTCAGCGTACCCATAGCCCAAGTCTACCGCTATCTCACGGCGGATCTTCTCAGTTGATCTGGACACCATAGAGGCCAAGACGTTGACCATATCCAGCCGGCTAAGAATCTGATCCATCACCTCTTGTTTTTGGGTCAGAGCAGACAGGATTAGGCACAGCTTGTGATCTGCTGTATCCCCATCCCCATCATCTGCTAGCGACAGCCATAGCTCTATACGATCTAAGTTGAGCTCAGCTAAAACCGACCTAAAAACATCATCAAAGAGGGGTAAACAAAGAAACCGGTGGATCGACCGATCCATCTTGAGCAACTGAGGCCCCGGGAGCGATCGCCCACAGCCCGTGCATGATCAGGACTGGGGATCCAACCTGCAGTGCCGGTCGATGGGAGGATCTACCCCAAACGACCAACCCGCTGGCTGTTGGCAAAGGATATCATCAGGACTACCAAGGAATGTGATCAATCCCAATAGCGAATCCCGAAAAGAAACCTAATGAACCAACAGACACATCATCATCAAGGGCACATGAACAGCCCTATGAAATAAATATCAGTGAAATCAACTGGAACAACCACCATCAAATCATCGACAAGAGGATAAGATCAATCCTATAAAATGAGACCTTCTGTGATCAACATTAAAACTTAAGGTCCAAATAATGAGGATCCGAACTGTTCCTACCCCAAACCAGGTTAACCCAAGTCTTGTAAATAACCTAGAACCCTGATTAGGGGGATCGGCCTAATCTGGGCAAAGGTTATTACACACAAGAATAGGGGAACCGGAGCAATGGGGGGACCTAAGGTAAGATCAGACGTATGAAATCCAGTAGACTCTAAACAAAATCCCTGAACCGCGTATTTGGGTGATCACCCACCAAACGAGGCTCCTGGAAACTGCTGACGGTTTTGATCAAAACCAATCAAGAAAAATATGGTGGACCGCACAATGATCAAAGAAATAAACCTGCCATGAACCCAAGGCACAAACAACGAACCAACGTGATCCCCACAGACATGTTCGATCGAGGTGCCAACAGGTTCATGCGGCTGGCTTTGATCTTTTTGCCGCACACACGATTTAAAAGGAGCCCGTCACGCGGGAGGCGATCTGCCATGTTGCAGATCTGCACATGAAAATTAAAGGAAAAATTCAAAATGATCTGACCTACTCCACGGTGACCTCCGCCTCAACATCCTGGCCCGTCTGAGCCGATGGACCAAACGACTGGGGAGCTGTGGTCGGTGCTGCTTGATCACTGCATTCCGTAGACCCAACTGCAGGAGTGCTGTGAGGCACTTTGCTAAGAGCTGGGCGATCTGCCACCGCATCTTCCACCACGTTCTCTTTGCCCCAAGCCGCCCAGTCTTCTGGTGGAGTGAGAAGCTCTGCATCAACCTCTTCGATCGTCGCCGTAGAGACATTGTACGATCGCCTGGAAATCTCCTCATGAAACAACTGGGGCGTGAGCTGAGCTGTGGATCTTGCAAACCTGCGATCGCAGCGAGCACGATCTCGTTCTGCATCCACAACGTGACCACGTTTCCCTTCTTGAGGATGTTTGGTTGCAAAGGACCTGAAGTTGAGCTCGTAGTTGGCTTGCTGCCGAACTGGCACGATCTCTTCTGATCCCTTGGAACCGCTGACCATGTTGGCGACCGTCTCGGCTGAGCTCAACCATGCCTCCCCTGTCAAAGAGGGGGGACCTGTGGGAGCTTTCACAGCCTCGCCATGCTGCATCTCGGCCAGAGCTTTGGCTGGAACGACTTCAGGTTCCCTTACCAGCAGCTTCGATCGAGCTTGCACGTGAAAGTTGCCCTCCTCCATTCCGGGGATGAACACCACCATGCTGCCCACCTGATCTTCACTGCTGGCGCCGATGTTTCCCACCAGGTCTGGTGGATGGCGGCGAGCTGCGCGAACTGCTCGGTCTGCTCAGGACCTTCAACCCGAGCTTTGTTCTCCCTCACTGACTGTATGGTCTTGATCAAGGTCGGTCCAGAGATGTGTGAGACAGTGAGCCATGTCCCGGGAACTGACGTCCTGGAACACTTCAAATCAATCCTGTTGTTTGAGTCCCTGAACCGGAACTCCACACGATCGGCGTCATTGCCCACTGCGTCAGCCGTAGACCTTGAACAACACCGGAGCTCAAACCGCGATCTGGCAGAGTCGCCTGCAACCACGGAGCCACGGGGTCCTACTGAGTATGTGCGACCCCCGCACTCAAAGCTCAGAACTGATACCCTGTAGCCGATGAACACGGCGATCACCACTGAGAGCCTCGGTTTTCCCTGGTTCACTTCTCTGACCAGGTGCTCGCCAACGAACTGTTGCTGGACTGTCAAGTCTGTGTCTGACCTGAAGCCTCTGAAGATCCAATGGAACAGGATCTCATTCCCGTTGTAGATCTTCACGTCTGTGTAGCTTGCTGATGTGTCCCTGAGCATCGGCCACGTGAAAGGCTGAAAAGCCTGGTGCGACAGAGCTGCTGCCGTCTCACCATCCCATCCAGCGCACGTAGTGCCAGTCTCACTCTCGAGCGAGAGCGCCAAGACCACCTTGATCCCATCCAGTGTATAGTTGGCAAAAAGAGCCACTGAAAAACCTGAATTAGGCGGCATCACTTGGTCTCTCTCTGTGAGCACGTTGATGGAGCTGGCAGCGTTTGACATGATCTCAGAAACAAGCCACGCCTGAAAAGGCGACACCATTCTGTCGTCGCGGTTGTCGACAACCACGATCGAGGTGTCTTCAGGGAACTTCAGACCTTCGTAGATCGGCACGAGGAACCTCGGCATCTTGACCTCATAGGGATTGTGGGCGCTATTGGTAGATCTACCGTATCCACGGCCCCACTGATCTTCTTGGGAGCCCCATCCACCGTCAGAGCCGCGAGCGCCACGATAGCTCGGCATGGCAAAAAGAAGAGCCGGTAGAAGGGTTGACCACCCAGGCCCACAAATCCCAAATGAAATCACTGATCAGATCTTGAGCCAAAATGGCACCAAGAACTGGTCAGTGCCATTGGCTCAACTGAGATGATCAACCTCAATGTTGTGATCACAACAATTCAAATCTCATCAACTGAACCCGATCGGGTACAACAAATAAAATAGAAAAAGAAGATCAGTCGCATCCAGTGCCAAGAACTGTAACATTGATCCACTTATCCCAGACCTACCAACCGATGATAAGTGACCGTATACATACATATATATATATACGTATACATATAATTATATATATATATGTATTATAATATATTATCATATGAGGAGCCTACAAAATTATTTGTTAAAATTAATACCATGCACAAATGAGGGTCGTCCCCTATCGGTTGTGAGGATTTCAGTACTCCCGGAGATATCACGAATGGGGTATCGGTCTATGGTCATCCCCTATGCAGGCTTTTTGCAACCTCAGAAAGGCCAAGGCGAAGCCAAACTAAATTCGTATTACAATAAATTTGTCGGTTACTCATATACATAATTGTACAAATCATAATAAAACAATAGATCATAATTAAAAAATAATATACGGTTTATGGATTATAATTATAATTATAGTTGCATGGTATTTGCCTTCGGTAAATAGTTGAGCAAGGTCAACTCACATTTTGGCAGAGCACCTGCTATGGCCAAATTTGCGATGCTGAAGAACCGCAAGCCCATTACCTGAAATTGCAGCTGTGTGATGAATGGTGTACACCCAGTAGATGTTATTTACAGATACGGCATAATCTTAAACAGAACTCAGCAGCAGAACTCTTTGGTGCGTTTGTGAGCAGGGCTCCGTTTCATGATTCTGCAATCTACCATGTAGGATTCTTAAAATTTGCCCAATACAATTTGCGGCGAGGTGGCTGTATTGAGACCTCGAGAAGCAAAAAGCACGAAGGTATCACTTTTTCGCTGACAAGCAGGTTCCCACCTCGGCAAGGCTATGGCTGTATCACCAGGGGCGGCATGGATCAAACTCACCATGGCATGAGATGATTCACACATGTCAATCTCAAAAACGGCCCAAGGGCCCAACACAAGACTGCTTAGTGAGAATTCGGTACTCCTAAATCCACTGCTATCCACTGTAAGAATTATAGAATTCGTGTCCCTGTTAATATCTGTTAATTAACAGCCATTTGGATCCATCTGCATCATCTGCTATCCATTTCTCATCGCACGGCGGACAGGTCATCTTGGATGATCTGCAGTCAGGCCGCATCAGCTCTATTCGTACACGGCCTGGCTCAATTTTGGAAGCAGTGTTACTTACCTATCATCACCCCTAAATACAGCCATATACAGCCTAAAAATAAATCATGTGAAATCCACTGGTTCATCATCTTCCACAAAAAATGTCATGTTGGGGCTGTTGGGGTATGTCACATGTTCAGACACACCCGCCTCTTCTGGATGATACCCTGCCAATGCATAATGCTATTTGATGGAATTTAAGAGTTCCAGACACAGGTCGATTATACAGGCACTCGCACAAAATCAGATCAAAATCAGATCAACATCAGGTAGTTGGCCTTTTAGATCCTATAATTTCGTCACTCTAAATTCTCTAAATCAAAACTTGTTTGCTCAGTTTGCTCCCCCATAGCTGGCCAGCTGGATGATTCCTCTCCCCAGTTGCCTTCTGATTCAGTGGAACCAGTGGATCCGGAGGATCCCAAGTGAAGCTCCTGGGACACATGCAACCCGTTTTTTTTTTGGTGTTTGATTTGGTCTTTGAAGATAGGTCTGAACCACATCATTTCGGAATTTCCATGAATTTCCACCATTCCTAAAATCAACCGCTGCATGACAGTTCGTTCTTTCAGGTCGCTGTCGATGGGACACATTCTATTTTATCTATATTGTTCTTCAAACAAATGACATCAAATGACAGTGAGTCATCCGTTTTCACATTCATGACATGTTTTCACCCATCTGTTCATTGTAGCTATCCGTTTCACAATCTCATCATGGGACAGTTACAAGCTGTGGAGGACGGCATCAAACAGCTGCCGGATTTGTCTCCTGCACCTTTCTTTCCTCTGCATCCATGTGCGGAATCTGAAACTCCGCATAGCCCAGAAACCTCAAGATGGAAAAAACTGCGGTACAGCATGGTACAGCCATGTCAGAATTAAGCTGAGGTACCAATGGATGCATGTTTGCGCAAAGCTACCTGGAAAAAAACATGGCTAAGTAAGAACAAGACAAACTCATACCGTATCCCCTTATGCAGTGTGAGCATGTTACATCATGTTTATCAACCACCCAAAAATGGATACAGTGCCGGGTCCATTGGCATCCCATTTTGGGATAGCATGTTCAGCTCTAATGCCGCCGCGGTGGCTCATCTTGCTTTCTTCCTTGCACCACTCCGTAGATCGTGACTTCCAAATGATAGTCCCCTTGGTCTGGAGCCGTTGGCAATGAAAACCAGAACCTGGGCGAAACAGATCAAAACAGGTTTTTTGGTGCTTACCATGGCAGGCAGGGTTTTTAATGGTTTTTGCACGTATCATCTGCGATTCTAGCAACAAGAAATACAAACAACACAGGATATCAACCAGCTTGACGATGATCATTGGCACCTTCGGGAAATGCGCTGTCAAGGACAGTGACAACTTGTGTATGTTAATGTGCTGGTGCTAACACTGTGATGATTGTGGCGTCCACACCGTGCTCTGACTTCCTAAGCGGCATGGTTTTGAAATGGATGCCATGTTGTCCTGTTGTAGGCCAGCCACCAATGCCAAACTCTGTTGCAGAAGCACCTTTTGAACACGAAAACTGCTGTTGCAGCTTCTTTCTCCCATATGGCATACAAATTCGAACTCATTCACCCGAACGTCAACTGCCAAGCAAAAAGAATTTGCTCAGAAACTCCTCCCGCCAGCAGGGATATCGGGTCTTCCGTGCAGGGTGTGTGCATCGTCGCAAAGACCAACTGCATTTCTGCTGTTCACTGCGACGTACACACAGAACTGCCTTGGAGCACATGGTGAACTCACATGCTACGACGTGGCCTTGCTGAAAAGACAGAATGAAACAACACAACAAGTGAGTTTCCTGCAACAAACAGCACAGTCGTATCACTATATCAGCATAGATCAACTCTGCCTGGATCTTGTGCTCCTCCATTCAAACAACCATCACGAGCTTTTGTCAGTCTTGTGGCTACTTGCACAGGGGCGAGCAACAACCGCCCAAACCAACCATCCACAATACTTCTGTGAGACACATATGGCTCCGAGTTGGCTCCTTGGGAGAAGATTTGAACCTGGAACGAAGAACCACTTTGTCCAGGCGGCTCCCACAGAACATCAACATGGAGACTGTGCAGACTATGTCTGCGTCAAATTGCACCAACCTTCTTTTCCGGCAGATTTCTAGATCACTCTTCTCAAAAGGATCATGGATATAGTGATTTTTTGGGCATTTCCGTTCATTTCCCATTGCAAACGCCCACATATCAAATACGGTTGGTTACACAATAATCGCATATAATGAGAACATATGATAACATAACATATCACATGAAAAATCCTGCTAGTCTTACACAGTCTTACATTATTTACGTCCTCATTGGTTCCTTGTCCCCACCATATCCTACCATTTTCGATGGGACCCCTCCGCCTGGAAGGGACGCAATTCTCTGGCACCCAAACAGCGAACCCTCAGGCGCCCAGGCCGCAAGGGTCCTGTTGCCTCGCTGAACAAATGGAGCCCTGGAACATTCTGACGATTACGGGAACACCAAGGAAAACCACCACCACACCCAATGCTTTATCATGATTTTCTTACATGTCTTGGGGGATACCCATTTTTGGACCCCGGATTTATCCCCTACAAAAGCTGATATGAAATCTTGATCACCACACTTTAAGCAAGGAACAAAACCCTACAAGAACTGATGTATTTAGCCATGGTCGACCCGAACAAAATCTGCAGCATGTCTGAGAAAAAGGAATGAAAAAGACTTGGTTTACAACCTCTGTGGCTTCTCCACACTTCCCTACCGCCTGCGTTGCCCGGGGGATGCTCGGTATGTTGGGAGTGGATCTGTTTCCAAGTTGTGGAGAGTTGGTCACCAAGGGCTCCCGCAACGTGACCCGCTTCTGCGGAGGACTTAGCGACGACAGCGAGGATGTCATGGCGAAGCACCCATGGCGAGGATGTCCGGTGACAACATTGGTATCTGATGATCCTGATCTTGGAAGTGGTCAAATAGTGATGTTTGGATACTTTTGCCATTGTCATCAACTTTCGACACCTGAATTTGGATCATATTTTCATCATCTTGTGTTGTTCTTCGCTTTGATTTCACAGTTGTTGCCATCTAGCAGCCTTTTTATGATGCCATTTTTGTCATTGTATGGCTTGAGCTATGAGCAGGAGAATTGGGACAGGAATCTGCCTGGTTGTTCAGCCACCCTTCCCATACATATTGCTTGAATAAGGGGTATCCGTGTATTCAACGGAGCATCAGAAGTTTGCTCACAACAGTGCTTGGAACACACCGAGGGAACTCATCTTTCTAGTCAACAGCCAACTCTTAAATGTCATCTTGATGAACAAGCTTAATCTGTGAGTCTTTTTGAAGTTGGCTGAGTCTGATCATGAAACTTGGCGTCACGTTTGCTTCAGGATGCTTTGAGACACGTCACCTCAAAACCTCTCATTGCCTTCATGGACAGTGATTCTCAAAGATTCCGCCAAGGATTTCTTGAATTAGGATGAATTAGGAATAGCGCCTGGACGAAGATCGCTACAACTGACAGCTTGAAGACGAAGGCCCAAGCAACTGAAAGCTGATGGGGGGATTGGTGCACATGGCTGCCCGGAAAAACTTGAATAACTCTTCAATCTATTTCTGAACCTGGGATTGACGGGCATACAAGTGAAATTAGCAATACATGTCTATATCATACTAGTACATAATCAGTACACAGTATACAGACAAGATGCAGTATATGTACATGGGTTTACATGTGTATATATATATACACATAATTATGTACACAGTAAGTCAAGTTTATCAATATTTTCCAGTCAAAAGGATTATATACACAAGTACCTTAAGCAGCCGCGCAGGCCTGGCTTGCCCATCGGTTGACCATAGGGACAATTCAGTTGATGAAAGGCTTCGCCCAGCTTACGCAGCTCACACTTTTTCAATAAGACTGTATAGTGCGGAGATCTGTACAGCACAGGCTTGATCAAATGCAACTGCCTATACGCTTGATCATACAGCAATATCCAAGCGGTAGGGTGGCTGGTCATTGATCGAAGGAAACCTTGAGACATGAACTTTCAACGAATGCCGCTGTAAAAAAGACCCCTCACTGCAGGTGTTCTTTGTTTCCACATGTATGGAAAAGTTGCCAAACTAACTACCCACCAGGGCACAGTCTAATTCAGTCAACCCAGAAATCAAGGAATGATTGAGGAATTTCAAGCATAACCCTTTAGCAGTTGGCGCTTTCAACCTAGTCAAAGAAAATCGGCAACTTGGGGTTCATCATCACAAATAAAGTTTGAACGTTAAAGAAAATGACACGGCCAACAAATGATTTGTGTAACATGTCCCATCATCATTCTGCCGCGGAGATCGTTGGAAGTTTCCAACCAAATCACTTGGATCCTGCGCAGCTCTCATTCCATGCGTGCTGCTTCGCACAGCGGGTGTAACTTTATGGCATCGGTCTGAGGGCCAATATTTACCCTCCAAAGCGCAGATTTCAACTGTTTGTCCTGCGTAAGTCCCATATTTTGCCCCATACCCATCGGTTTTACCCTTCGCGGGCAATGGAAGACACCTCCTTTCCAGTTAAGCAATACTGGAACGTTGGTTCAAGAACCTGTGGCTTTCTGACGAAATAGCAGTTGCCGAATGATAATTGGGCATGGAAACAACATACATAGATAGCCATAGATACATGTCCATAAACCTACAACACCAGAATGCATCAGTGTGGGGGGCTATGCAACAAAGGTCTAGCTTCAAGACCTTTGTGCATATTAGACTTCGGCTTGATTCAGTTCACACTTTGACATGTCTGTGGTTTACCTATTCTACTTATTTGGCTTTGTCTGAGAATGATACATACCCCTCAATGGCCATTCTAATTGGGAAATGATGATCAAAATGTCAACTATCCTACCAATTAATTTGGGTAAAAGATGGTAAAAGTGAAGATGCGTTCTGACTCACCCGCTGAAAATGCGGCTGCGCACCTCTGCACAGTTAGATTAAGAGGATGGAATGAGCGAGTTCCAGTGTGTGAAGATTTCAGTGACCTGCTGCGGAGATCCTTCATTTTGGGACGATTGACCCATGTTGACCCATTTAACATGGTGATTTCCCTTTGCTAGGTGAAATTACGAGAGTGTGTTGAGGAGTGATCACCAACATGAATTGCCAAGTTGATCTGTCCTTTGAACCTTCGACAGCCCTCCTTCAAACCTTGACTGAACGTCACACAATATGTCCCAGGAAATGGAAGTGACCAGATACGAAAAACAGTGTCTAATCAGAGTTGTGGGTCTTAAGGAGAAAAAGGTCAGCTACTGACCTTGCATGTCACAGTCTAACAGTACCACACTTTTCCTCTGAAGAACAGAGAGCCGAAAGGCTGAAATATCTTTGCAAGAGCCATGATATGCGCCTCTATCATCCTCTATCTTCTTTGTGTACTCAGTGTACTCTTCAAGTTCTTTTCCGGGGTAAGTTTCCAACATCAACTGCTTCTAATACCAAGACTTCAAGATCCTCATGCTGTTTCTCTGTCATTCCTACCATCTACAGCGGTGAAACAGTGGCTTCACCCCGTTGGGGGCTTCCGGAAGCCCCGGTTTGGGGCTGGCGCAATCCTGGCTGTCTCGGGGGCATATCATCATTCTGTATCTAAAATTCGTTTTTGACAGATTTGCTTACAATTTGAGCTTCATCCAGGTCTGACATTAAATGATACTAACAAATAACCAACAATTGACCTTTGAGTCATCCACCATCTTTCATGGTCCTGTCTGTGCTAAACATTTTTGCCTTCGTTGCACCTGATGATATGAGTTATTATGAGTTTGTCCAAATTACAGCACGCAAATCCAATGTTTTATCATGTTTTATCATCATATTCCATATTTTCAATGGCCATCAATTCGGGTCCTGACCGGGCGCTGTGGATCTCGGGCGACCTGCGGCGCTAGCTCCAGCTGGGAATCATCTCTGGAACATGAAAAACGGGGGAAACACCATGGAAAAAACACAATTTTTCACGTGCTCAAACCAAAGATCCAAAGGAAGTCATGGTGTCTTTTCAGCTCCAAGTGATCTCAAACAATCCAGTCTCAGGTTTTGATCCGCGGCAAACAGGACTCAAATTTGACATTTTGTACATCCCCGGCTGATTACAAGACCTCAGTTTGCCTTGGCGACACGGAAATGTCGGGCAGAGGTTCTAGGCGCTGCGGGGCTTTCTGCTAAGGCTAAGAAATCGATGGAGATTGAGTGCCCAGGTTTGAGTCAAAGCTAATTTATAGTGATTAGTGATCCTCTCTATTCACATTAGAATTAGAAGGGTCAAGAGCGGACACTTCACCACTTGACCATCCATTGCCACTGCAATTCTTGATAGAAGGGTCGCTTCAAGTCACTTGAAACATGTCGTCAATCATTGAGGGTCATCATCTCAGACATCTCGGGGAAAATCGAAAATCAAAGATATTTGGAACCATCGAAGTAGCATGAAATAACCATCTCATGGCGTATCTTTGATTCCCATCCAAAATTCTTTGGTTTTCCATTGATAGCAATAGATGAAGTATGAAACGACCCATCCAGTCGGTTATGGTTGAATGAAATCTCTCCCAAAGAAAACATCGAGGGTGGCTTAGACCATCATAAAGCATGATTTTCAGAATGGTTTAGATGTGAACTCGGGGGACTAATGGGGCCTACCCTCAAAACTGTGGTTAGTTACTATTCAATTTGGTCCCTCCCATGAGCAAAATGGTGCTGTACTGACTTTATCAATCCTGGGTTAACATTAAACCTTACCAAATCCCATTAAATTCCACTAAGCCCTATTGAATCACCATAAGATCCCATGACTCAAACCACAGGGTTGGATCTCTACATCAGCTCAACTTCAAAGACCAGATTGGCATTGGGTGGGATAGCCGGCGGAGCGCCCCGCCGGCCATACCCCAGCTTGGCAGGAACCAGCAATCTTCGGCGCTCACCACGCAACATTCCTTTCCTAGGTGGGGCGCCAAGAAGCTACAGCAGCTACAGGATAGGGTTCCTTGCGTTCTGAGCTTATGGTCCCTTTAGATCCCTCAGAGCCTCTATGAAAACGCTCGTGCTAGGCTCCAACTCGCTTTGGTCAGAAACAAACTGATGGGCAAATTCTCTGCTTCAGCACGGAAGCAAAAAAGCCATGGGGGCATTTGTTCCCACTGTGTTGATAGTCAAATCATCTATAAATGGGTCTGGCTTAAAAGGGGAAACCCACAAAAATTGATGGTTGATCACCAATTTTTCCCTGTAACATGACCACTTTAGGGGACAGCCCTCCATTTTCAGACTCACCCAAATATATCCAAATATCATACATAGATGGCTATATAATGCTATATATATATACATATCCCATAACATAACATATATGAAATATCCCATTACATAGCCACATATCCCCAGTATGCTTGGTTATATACTTTTTATGGCATCGTTCTTATCTCTGCCCATCATTATCTTCCCCATGAAATGGCCTATTTTATATTATGTTATACCCAATGTTCCATCAGGTTGCTTAGTTCTGTCCCATGAAGAAGTCCCACATTATGATTCATATTCCATAAAGATACCCATTATTTTCTTCCCCTTGGTTCCCATTTTCATCACCACAACGAATCCACCAAGCAGCACACCTTGATCCCAACCCTCGATCACTTCGCCCATCCCCAGGCGGAACTCGATGACGCCCTTGTCGAAACGTCCACCAGTGCTGCCCAGACGACCCTCGTAGCGAACCTTCACCTGGAGAAGGGATCGTTGGCCACCCCCAAAAAATGGGCTGATCATCGATCTTTGGGAATATCATGGGATTTCTTGAGGGGAAAAAGCTATATCAAAAATGGATGTATCTGAAGGCCACTAAAGATACTAAAACATGTATGTTTAGTTTGAATACAATGGGAATAGAACGGTTATTTTTGATGAAAGCAGCATTGCACATAGATGCAAGTAGCTGCTAGCTGTTTATCAATGTTGTTTGTTTCCGATTGGAGAATTTAATTGAATTTAAGTACCCAACATGAGCGCTGAATCATCTGAAATGAGACAAGCACCGACATGATGGATAGCATGTTTTCCAATAATAAACAAATTACGATGTACTATGATTTATCATCAATCTGGGGTTTTATCATAAAAAACAAACAAGCAACATAATATACTTGGAGGGATGCAATAACCAACACTATTCTATTTAAATTTGAATGCGTCGAGAATTTGGCTTGACTTAGCATCAATGGGAGATTGCCAACGGATGTGGGAAATCTAGGGGCCGGAAATGTATGTCTCACATTTTTGACTCCCAAACCCAGTCCACATGAGGGCCATGAATAGAAGATCATAGAACAAAATAGAAGAACACACACGAAACATCATTGTATACAATTGGTTGACCCAAAACACAAGAAATCAGTAAAAGATAGTAAAAGCATGTAAAAGCTCATCCAGGACACCTTCTTACCAGACATGGCCTGTGGCCCACTACCTCTCTGCAAGACTTCATATCGCAAGCCTGAAGGCAGAGTTCTCTGAGTCACGGCTTTATCCGCCTTTTGATCTTTTTTCACCTCCTTCGTCTTAGGCGCAGCTTTTGGTGCCACCTTTGGACTGGCCTTGGGCGTCACTTTGGGTGAAAGCTTTGGTGGGGAACTGCTCTTGGCCGGTGAAGGGCTGGCCTTGGGCGCGGCTGAACTCATCACGGCGGCGAAGGGATCATCCATCACCAGGCCACTCAGTAGCAGATCTCCACCTTCACAGCTGAAGGTCGTCTCTAGTGACAGGCTGGTGAATCTCACCGGGCAAAATGGTTGGGTCGAAGATACAAATCCCAGGGCTCGACGTTGGCCATCCACAGTCACATACAAACGGCTGCTGGCTGTGCTTCTCGCTGAATCTTCGGACAACGAGCAGCTCCGCAGCTCCAGGCCTAAGAAAAAAAATAGAAAAAGCACTGTGAATTTCCAAAGCTCCGAGGTCCACCTTGTTTCATTCATCGAGTATCGGCAGACTGTCTTGATATAAAGATCTTAAGATGCAACATGAAGTCTGATTTACAGCCAGGGTTTGGAACGGAATGGAACAGATTGCTATCGATTTTGTCATCACATCGGTTTCCAGCTCAAGTCTGCACAAAACCCAGCAGTTGAGGCACCACGAGAAAGGCCTGGCAAAAAATAACAAGCAACCAACAATCAACAGAGCCGGAAGCACCCACCACAGCAGCGGCAGCGGTGGCAGCTGCAACAACACCAGCAAAAAGAAGAATTCAAGAAATTTCAAGAATAAGTTTCCAGACCGACACGAACAGCAACAATCAACATCAATCAACATGCAAACCTAAGAACCCCAGTGAGGTCAACTTGACAGGATGAGCACACGAGGCACCGTTCTCAGGCTCAATCTGTGCTGCACAGGCCTTTTTTTAACAGCCAGCAACTAGGAGACAAACACCGCCATTGGTGGCTGATACCCCAATGTATAACCCACAAAAAGTGGGCCTCTGAACCCCTGAGAACACATAGAAGAGTTCGGATTCTGGGATCATTACACAATGCCATTTCGGGGGATCGACATAGTCGACCATATTTGACACCACCAAGCCAGGTTTATTGGTTGTACTTGATCTCCCCATGATGTATATATCATTATATATCTATATAACTTATATAACTTATATGACCTTCTGCAATCAAAATTAAACATAGTTAAATTATGTCAAATCCAGAAGGAAAGCCCCATGAGTTCCAACTGTTCCAACTGTTCCAAGTTTCGAAGGCCATGCTCCGCTCTGAAGATGGCAGGCTGCTTGGATGAGATGTGCTTCTGCCAGACCTTTTGCGGCATGGGACCAAGCCACCGAGTTGATCGAGCTGAATCGTCCTTGAAGCCAAAGGTTGCAGCGAACAATCCACTCACTTTGGTTTTTTCTGAGTAAGGCAGTCCTGGATTTCCGGCACAAGAAACATAGCAAAAACATGCAACAAAAAAGCAGCCTATATACATACACACACACATATATATACACGTATATGATATTCCAAGAAACCCTGACATTCATGAATCAATGCATTATGTGGATCGGTTCTCCCAGTAGGCAGTGATTTCAACAGCTTCATGAGCCACAATTCCACAATTGAGCAGTATTTAAAACACTCATTTCATCTCACTTCCATTCCATGGACATCCATGGATTGCTGGTTGGTTAAGGTTGGTCCTTCTTGCGGGTTAGTGGATGATTTCATCCATGAGCATTCCAAATCGGCAGCCGAATACCCTGCCAGCTCAAGCCTGTCAACCAATCTACATGGTCTTCAGGTTATTTCACCTGGCAAGATCGACCTGAAAAACCTCCACATGGACATGGCTGTAAACATGGGGATTTACAGCCTCAAACATGGCAATTTTATTAGGGAAAAGGATGATAAACCAATGGATTTAGCGGGGTCCCCAAAAATTTCAGACACACCCACATCCTTCACCCTTTCATTTTTGCCAGAAAAAATACAGGTTTCTGTGTGAAGCAGACAATCTTCATCCGTTTGGCCACCCTCCAATCTACTGTAATCTACCATTACTTGTTCTACAGCTACAACTGCCAGGCCTTACATGATGCTGCACCAATTATTTCCAGCGGTTTGCACCAGCGGCTGTACTTCCTCCACCTGCACCAGGAGGTTTCTTATGGAGGGGGCAAGCAAATAAACACTCCGCCTCGACAGGTGAAATTGAAGCGCCTGGGATGGACTGATGGGTGCTTTGGTACTTGCCTGGCCAGGGCTCCAAGCAACCGGAGCACCCTTGATTTGTTGACAGGGAACGTCTCAAACCTTGCAAAGTTGGTATGGTTGTCACCAGAATCATACACACATACACACATACACACATACACTGGTACAAATCACTGTGTGACATACGATTTCTAGTTTGTACCCTCTGGTAAACAGCCACATAACTATGGAAACACACCATTTATAGCTGGCTAAATCAACTATTTCTATGGCCATGGCTTCAGTAGCTGTGTTAAATTACCAAAGGATACCTGCACCCGTCGCACCTCAGGACTCACTGGACTCACTGGAGCTTCTCCACCCTGTTCCGCGTGTAAGCGCTCCAGGAGCCTTGCGGCGGCCTCAAGAAAAAGGGACAGGAGACAAGTACAACGGATGTCAGTCTATGTTTATTTGTTGTATTTGGTAGATTATATATATGTAATATAATTGTATATATTATATATTATATATATTATATATTATAGATCATATACTATATATTATATATTATATATTATATATTATATATTATATATATTATATATACATTATACATAATATATAATATATATATATATTATAATATTATATAATACAATACAGTTGTAGTTGTGTGTTCTATCCGTTCATCCATCCAATGAATCAATGAATCAAGAAATCTGTCACTCAATGTAAAGAGGGAAACAGCAGAAAGATATCTGAGGTCCATGTTTCTTTTCAAGTCTGTCTGGTTTGGTCTGGTCTGTCTGGTTGGTTCTTTGGTTGTTGGCGTAGTCAGCATCTGTAGTTCGTATCTGACTTTTCTCGGGAGGAGTCTTGATCATGCACCCAATGTTGCTTTTGCTGTTGCTGGCCTCTGAACGACATGGACGCTCCGCGCGGTCCTCAGCACAGCTTTGTCGATTGGATTGGATCACGACCATGATTGGGATGGATGCTCGAATTTTCTAAACAACCTGGTTGACGATCATAGGGGGTTATACCACCCAATATATTGGGGATGATCATCGTCTCTTGAGGTGGTTTCTGTTGAACTGGGATGTTTTAAACAACCTTGTGGATTGAAACCAGAACCAACAGGATCTCATGAACTTGGATGAGGTTGGACACCCACTGAGTCACGCACTCTTAAATGGCCATCGGCAAACCTGGAATCATAAGACAAAAACTCAACAGGATGAATCGACAAAAAATGCACAACCATGAAATATGATAAAATCCACTGAATTCCTGTATATGTTAATCTATATAACATTATATAACCATACTTTGCTTCACATTTCGAGGCCGTATCTCCAGCAACTTCCAGCAGAATTGGACGTTCAACTTGCCTTCTTGTCATCATCATTCCATCGGACGAGCCTGGTGGCGATTAGTTGAGACACCGATGGCAGGGTGCAGAAAAACACTTTGAGTTTCATGAGTTTCATCCCATAAAAACCATCAAAAACCATCAAAAATTCAATGGGGCTCTGTGGCCCTGAGGTTCCAGGCTGGAATCTGAGGATCCAGTATCTTCTCGTCCGATCATGTAGGGTGTTGGTGAAGTCTCCACCGGATCACCCGCCATGTCGCTCGATCGATCAAAAATAGCTCAACTGCTCAAGGCGAAGTGGCCAATGCTCGCTACTATGTGGTACTTGGGGGTCTGCATGTGGATTTGATATGATTTGATCATCAGGTAATATCATGTCATATCAAGTCAACTTTGAATCACTCAGGTCTAAAAACTGAGGAGATCGTGAAGTGTAGTGGGATGTATTTGCCATGAATCGAGACCTTGCATTCGAGATACACAAAACTCTGAAAAGCCAGGAAGCGGTCGTGGATTCAGAGGATCAAACGTGATCAAACTATATAACTTGATGTAACTTGATGCAATGCCCTCTAGGAAACAAACAAGCAAGGTGCGAAAAAGGTGGCTTTCCAAAATCGAACCAGCTGCAAATGGTGGATTTCACACTTTTTGAGGGCCAGAAGCGGCCAGAAAGTAATGCATGTTGGGATTTGAGATGTACAGTACCTTCCCACATCAACAAACTCGACCTCTGTCTGTTGTAAACTACACTCAATCATAACTCCAGAGGCAGTGTAAAAAAACAGTATAGTAGAACACCATGTGCTCCAGAAACACGTTTTCGGACGATTGAATTGTGCCTTTAACATCTTGGTGCCTTCATGAATTACACACAGGTTTTCTGCGGCACCGTCCATTCATATCATCAATGAGCAGAATGAGCAGTTCACCAATCCCAAGAACGTCCCCAGTAACTGCTGAAAACCAGGCTTCCAATACTAATACTAGACTAGTTCATACAGTAGTCCCCAGTTATCTCAGTATATCCCTGTTTAATAATCAACTACAAGAATCTAGCAGGCATGTTGCCGGCTGAGCAGTAACACGTGCTGCCACTGCATCGCATCATTTTTGCTGAGATTCCTTTGCTCGGCATGGCATTGGCAGAGAGCGATCATTGGATCATGCCTGCCGTGGCAGCTTAACATGTCACTTGGACTTGGACTTCAATGTGGCTGAATAGAAAATATCGACAAATATATATATATAATTATATATATATATAAATATTGAATGCAAGTGCGACGTTCACCGGAAGGGAAGTCAGTTAATACAGAATCAACATGAAAACAATAATGCTCGGAGAGGCCAAGGAAGAGAAACACAGAGCTTTAAGCCACTGCATGTTCGGAGGCCATTGCAGTCTCAGGATTGCGTTTGACATGTAGGTTGATGGATGGATATGTGCACTTACATCATAATTCATCAACACACCAACAATGCGAATATCCTTGGATTTTCCTGCTATTGTCTCCCGTTTCACACCTCAGTCTTCCACCAACTCCGGGCCTAGGAGAGACTCTGCTTGATGTCCATCACTGCGGAGTGAGACCTCAAGACATCCCATGTTTTAATGGATTGTTCAGGATGTTTTAGCAGCTGGATGATGAACAATAACTCCCCATATGAAACCAACTAAACCATGAGGCAATTGAGAATTGATGGATTTCAGATGTCAGATTTGCCGCTGAAGCCACCCAATCTCCTTTCTGAGTGAATCTTGTGCTGAGTATCTGCCTACATTTGCCGAGCAAAGTTAGGACAGTTGGGACATCCCACTGCTTAAAGATAGGATCAAATTCTGAAGTTCTGGCGACTGGGTAGTCAGCGACTTTTTAAGCGCATTGCTAGGGGGAGCAGGTCAAATTACATACAGATTCTCGGAATCGAAGAACAACCTTAAGACTCCAGGTAGTTGAGTGGCAAGTTTGGACTTGGCTCCGAGGAAGATACTGTAAATCTATTCAGACAGGTATCCTATGAAAAATGCATGAAATACCAGACAATGCAGGAACACATAAAATTCATAAATTAATGGATATCAATTGTATAATATTATATAATAGTATTTTTAATAATGCAGGCCTAGCCGCTTTGCTAGCGCGGCCTTACTGGTGAAGAGGAAAACCACCAGAGATCCATATGATTTATCAATCACATTATCAACCACTGGTACAAGACATATGATAAACATGTTTGACAAATGGTGCATCAATGCCAAGGCACAAGTCATGACCCAAACGACACAAAGAACTGAATAGTTGTGGTGTAAGCCACATATAGCCTGCACGGCATCAACGGCATCAACGGCAAGGTACAAAAGGTGAAGCCAAGTTTGTTCACAAACAATACGCCAAACCTGCACTTGAAGGGTTCAACTTCAATCCAGGACCCAAAGAAAGCAACATAGGCGCTTTCCTGCTGGGGCAGGGGCCTCCAAGCAAAAGATCAACAGTACATGGGTCTACTAGTGCAGAATGCGGAATATTTTGGGTTTCCTGGTTCCAGCTGAACCCCTGGCACCTGTGAAGGACAAATGCGGGAATTTGCGGCCACAGTTTCCCCTGAAAGCGGGTGACGTGCAGCAACAAACCATGGAAAAGCCCAGGTGAGAATGCCTGATTCTGTCTTTTCGCCATTGTTTAAATCTAGCTCCAACATAGTTACATTCAAACCTGAGAAATATAGAAATGGCAACTGGCCCCTTTCTGCAGGTGCTGAAGATCTATGGCGAGCAACCAGCGATGGCAGCAATCGCAGCAACCAAAGCCACCCAACTGCTCTTGCTGCATCCGACGCAACTCCTAAACCAGGTGAACAGTGCCAGTGCAGCTGCAAACCTTTTTCATCTTGTAACAGGATGGGGGCAACAGAAAACACCGTAGAAAAAAAACAAAAAGTATCTTCAAATATTTAAAGATCCAATAATTCAGGAAAAGACCTTCAGATCTCCCTGTACGTCAGATGCAATCTCCAAATCACCCGGATCATTTCAGTCAATGCTAAGTATATCGAACCATTCTTTGCAGCCCATCCCGGACCCCCAGCTGGAAGGATCGTAATATGGTGAAAACCCACGCCTCGTCTGCCGTTGGATCTTCGGAATCATCCGACTCGGAGGTCTGGTAATCCTCCCAACTTTCCGCTGCCCAATGAGTTCAAAGGCAATAGAAAGGTGTATTTGGACAGGATATCAGGTCCACATTGGTAAATACGGGAAACCCAAGGCCATAAACCTACCATTTGCGGATGGTTTATAGCACCCAGAAAAATGGGGATTCTGGGGATAGATGTGTCAAACAAGAATTCTCTCCACGAAACTCGTTGTGAACTGTGGATTTGCTAGAGTCTCTTGATCCCAAGATGAGTACAGAGTGAGCCAATCTGCTTCTTGCAAAACTGTACTGCTGAAAGAACGTCAAGACTCTGTGACACTAGGGTAGCAACAGCCACCAACAATGACCGTAGTGACCATAGTGTCCTTGGGCTGACCGAACCTTGGCTCATTGGGTCGAAGGTGAATATTTGAGGCAGGCCGAAGGCAAACCAAAGCATCCTCATGGATATGGCTCCAACATGGGGTACCCAAAAAGACAATTTCGCAACTCTAGTACCAAACGATACCAAATTAATCCAAATCATGTAATTTTTCGGGTCAAGAATTTGAACCTAAGCCATCCATCAGAAACACCGGCCTGTCTGTTTGGGACCATGGTTTTCATATGATTTTATACCAAGCGCCCATGCACGATCTCTTCCTCATCGAGGTGCGGTCTCACCTTACCAGTGTTGGAAATTTGCAACCAGGCACAAAAGGTGATATGTGTGAGCATCACAGAAACCAGCTTGATCAGATCCACCGTTGTGGAGACATTTTGCACATTCCATATCTTTCCATCATTTTGCTCTTTCAGCACCTGATTGTTTCGCTGAGGCTTGGGGCCATTTGATTTGCGAAACTCTGTGGTAGCCGATTCTTCACAATCCAAAGTATCCTGCCAAGTTCCCAGAACTCACCAATCTGCAGATTTCATCAGATTGCCACTGATCATTGATCATTGGTCATGCTGTATCTCCCGTGCCCCGGTGTCCCCAGGCTGTGTGGCTCATCTTCGTTCCAACCTGGGACATCTCAGGATGCATTTTTGTACATCACTATTGATATTATATAATTGCACATACACCAGAGGAGGCAACATTCAGCACTTGAGACCTGGAAGCGACAAGTCATTAGATCAAAGGGGATATGGGAGGTCGACTAAGAATAACCACATGATGCTTCCTGGATTGAGGGTCAGCAATGCTAGTCCATGATGCCAGCGTTTGTGAACAGCACTGCCATACGATTGTATGCATGTATGAGAAAGTACGTGCATACTCCGTCCTGTGTATAAAACAGTGTAAATATATAATATTCTCGTTGTCTCTCGCACTCTCTATATTTGTGTCTGCCTGCCTGCCTCCCTGCCGGGCTGTCTATCTGTCTGCCTGCCCACCTGCCTGCCTGCCTGCCTGCCTGTCTGTCTGTCTATCTATCTACCTGTTTGTGCATGTATGTGTGTATAATAATGATACATATATATATATATATACAAGTAGAACCCGCTCAAGGCGGGTGGCGGAAGTTTCCAGGTTTAAGAAGTGTAACGCTATAGGATCCATAAGCAATGTTTGCCTATAGGAGCTGCGGCAGACTTCCATGCTCTTTTCCGGGACTTCTGACCTCTGGTCGCAAATTGTGAAACCACATCTCAACTCTTCCAACGACTTCTCACCTCTCGTCATCTCTTTTCAACACTTCTCGTTTCTGTGCACATCTTCTTGACTCTCCTCAACTCTCTTTTCATCTCTCTCTCTCTCTCTCTCTCTCCCTCTCTCCTCCTCTCAACGCCTTTGAACTCGTGTTGACTCACCTCACCGCAGTTCCACCTGTCTATTTTCTTCTCAGCCCAGTCGAAGTGACACAGTTGCAAACTTTCTTGTTCAGGCCAGTTGAATTGCCTTTCCATTCGATCATGGTTTTCAACATTCGATTGTCATCGACTGTGTTATCATTCTCGTGTCATGTACTATCATTCAATCCTACTGGACTGTTGACTCTTACCTGTGGGTCCAACGTTCAAGCATGCTTGGGCCGCAGCATCTATCAAGAGCGCGTGGGAGCAGCAGCACGCGTCTCTGAGTCCTGCTGCCTGAAAGGCCAAGCGAAGAAGGACACGCAAGCAGCACAGCTGCGCGCGCCACGGGAGTGCAGCGAGGCGTGGCAAACGCAGCACAGCCGAGCGCTCTTCTTCCCTGCTTCTTTCTGCTACACTTCCACAATGTCACCATTCGCAACTTTCATGCTGCCATCGATACATTACGATGGACGACTCTCAGCTGCAAAACACAATAGTATTACGCCATTACGCATCCGCAGCAGCAAGGAACCTTGACACAGCCATTCCACTGCGATCTGCAGAGACTGAGTTGCAAAACGCAATAGAATTGCAACACACGACTGTAGAACACATCGCTGATGCACCAGTGCTAATGCACAAAGCACCTCAACACATGCAAACTACCAAAGCATTGCCACCCACTACACATCGCTTTGATGCACCAGTTCCAATGCACAAAGTGTCGCAACACATGCAAAACACAAAAGCACAGCAGCAACAAAGGAGAGAAAAAGTCACCTGGAACTCTGGAACCCTTAGTTACAATGCGCGCGCAGTTCGAGACAAATTCGACGGCAAATTTACGACGCCCGAAAACATCGCGCAAGCGAGCCAACTTTTCTCCGCGGAAAAAACACAATGTTTCGTGCAAATCCTAACATTCAAAGTGCATCCTTGATGTAGCAGGTCCATTGCGATCTAAAGATCAGTGACGTGCGAAACGCAATCAGTATCGTAACTTCTCTGCTCTACCCGTCTCTTCTTCCCTACTCTACTTTTCCCGACTCTATTCTACTCAACCTCTACCCCTACCCAGCTGCTACTCTACCGCTACCTCTTCCTGTACCCCTGCTCCACTTCTGCTCAGCTCTACTCTCCTCTACCCTACTCTGCTCTGCTCTACGCTACTCTGATCTACTCTACTCTTCTCTACTCTTCCCTCGTCCTCTCTACTCTATGTGTCTATGCGCACCTTTACTCTGGTCTATTTCTAGTTCTACTCTACTATGCTCTACTCTATTCTACTCATCTCTCCTCCTCTATGCTACTGTGCTATACTCTGCTCGTCTCTACTCTACACAGCTTTACTCTACACAGCTGTACTCTACCTCTACTCCACGTCTACTCTACCTCTACCCTGCCTCTACTCTACTTCTACTTTACCTCTACTCTACTTCTACTCTACCTCTGCCTCCACCTCTACCCCTGGAAACTCTTCTCTTCTCTACGCTGCTCTACTCTACTCTTCTCGACTCTACCCCTCTATACTCTACTCTGCTCTACTCTACCTCTGCCTCTACCTCTATTCTACTTGACCGCTACTCTACGTCTACCCTACCTCTTCTACGCAGGTGCCAACTGGACACAATAATCTTTGGGCTAGTGAGAATGTGACCTGATGATTTCATAAGGCACATGCCAACTGGACACAATGATCTCTGGGCTAGTGAGAATGTGACTTCATGATCTCGTAAGGCACATGCCAACTGGACACAATGATCTCTGGGCTAGTGACAATGTGAGTTCATGATCTCTTAAGGCACATGCCAACAGGACACAATGATCTTTGGGCTAATGAGAATGTGAAAGTCCGTAACTCGGAATTTCCTCCATGAAACTTCCTTTGGTAATATATATACACATACATAACATCGTAACATGACATGACATGAAATGACATGACATGAAATGACATGAAATGACATGAAATGACATGATATAAACATAGATATATATAGATGGATAGATAGATAGATAGATAGAAAGAAAGAAAGATAGATAGATAGATAACATTTCGAACCAAACAGCACGAACATATGCCGCATGGCACGCGCCGCCAAGTCGCCATATCGGATGCCCATCCTGAACATCGATTGCACTGTCTGTATACATGTGCAGATCATATTCTTGAAATACAGCACCCATGGATACATGATAATTTACATGATGATACATGATGTATGATGGTATATGAATGTAAATGATAATATGTGAGATAACCATAGTCATCTTGTCGCTGACTCATTGTGTCCTGTACAGAGAAATTCAGGGTGGTCCAATGCCAACGAGACACTTGAAGAAGTGAACATCCGAATTCTTGAAGTCATCCAGCAGCGCATTGACATCTCGGCGCGAATCCCTGCAGAGTGCCGACAGAACTGCATACCGTTTCTTTTCGACACCTAGATGAGACAAAACAAGCCCAAAAACAAGCCAAAAAACAAGCCCAAAAACAAGTGGAAATGGGCAAACGAGCGGTTGACAAAGTCTTCATGAACCTGTGACACCAACAAAATCAAGAGGTGCTGATAGACCCTTGGCCAAACCCTCTGTCGAGCTGGAAAATGAGGACTGCTCAGCACTGAGTCCCAGGCTTGAGATCGTAAAAGGAAGCAATCCGTTGATGTCTGGTGGTCTGGCCGCTTCAGCCAGGGAACCAGCAACACGGAGCCAATAGGCAACAGTCGCAATCACAGTCAATTTTTTTGACAAATCAATGACTCATTAGATAATATTGGAATTATATTATTGGACGACATGTTTCCCACATAAGATGGAGTATTGGTGTAATTTCTTTTGTGTATTGTGACCGTTTTCTCCTGCATGGTCGTTCGCAGAACCGCCAGATCATCCGTTGGATCACCTCAGGACATTGCAGAATTCTGATCGAATTCAAAGACGAACCGTATCAACTACGGAAAAAAACTTCGTTGTTCTTGGTTCGAGACCAGTCCAAATCAGTATTCCAATTATTAAATTCAATCTATTGCGTGATATTGCATGCATGGTGTTGAACGTGAACCATTCTTGCAAAGGTACTTGCAGCGAGAACCAGCAAAATGTTCTTGCGCTTCCTGGCATACGCTGTCTCAGGGCAAATGATCGGAGATGTTCAGACTTGAGGTTTCAAGAGCCACATGCCAATGCGTGGCAACAAGTTCCAGCCTGAAAAGAAAATCAGAGAATGAAATTTACAGTATGGGACGTAGAGCCACCTTTAAACCATGATGTTCCGAAATCTTGAGTTGGGTTGGTCTGAAAACTACTGGGAACCCCCTAATCCAGAGGTTTTATTGACAACTTCATCATGGTTTTCCTGCTGGTTTAATGGCCATGTAGTGTGTCAATTCCCTATTTTCAGATCCAAAATGATCCAAATCATTTCAGGAACCGGCACCTTTGAAGTAGTTGTAGAATGGCAGTGCAATCCTGGCTGTCGGACGAGATCGCCAGATCCTGGCCAGTGTCAGCCTGCACCCAGCCTGCACTCCTCCATCCGTGACATAGAGCCTGGGGCAGGCTGCAGCCTGCTGCTGTAAAGTACCAAGTAAGTCGCATGGCTCTGTAATTGGTGGATTTCTATGGGACGCATGCTATATTTGTCTACGTATAAGAATATATATACATATATACATATATACATATGTATATATATATACACATATATACATATATACATATATACATATATACATATATACATATATACATATATATATATACACATATACGTATATACATTTTTACATATATATATATACACATACATAAATACACATATACATATATACATATATACGTATATGCATATATGCATATATGCACATATACATCTATACATATATACATATATACATATATACATATATATATACATATACATATATACATATATGCATATATGCATATATGCATATATAAATATATACACATATACATATACACATATATACATATACATATATACATATATGCATATATGCATATATGCATATATAAATATATACACATATACATATACACATATATACATATATATATATACATATATACATATATGCATGTATATATATACATATACATATATACATATATGCATATATGCATATATACATATATACACATATACATATATGCATATATGCATATATACACATATACATATATACATATATACATATATATATACATACATATATACGTACATGCATATAGACATATATACGTATATACACACATATATATACATTCATATATACATATATGCATATATGCATATATACATATATGCATGTATACATCTATACATATATACATATATACATTTATATATATACATATACATATATACATATATACATAAATATATATACATATACATATATACATATATACGTATATACAGATATACATATATGCATATATACACATATACATGTATACATATATACATATATACGTACATGCATATAGACATATATACGTATATACATATATACATATACATATACATGCATATATATACATTCATATATACATATATGCATATATGCATATATACATATATGCATATATACATCTATACATATATACATATATACATATATACAAATATATATATACATATACATATATACATATATACATAAATATATATACATATACATATATACATATATGCATTTATGCATATATACACATATATATATACATATATACATATATACATATATATATACATATATGCATATATACATATATACACATATACATATATACATTTATACATATATACACATATACATATATACATTTATACATATATATATATACATATACATATATACATATATACGTATATGCACATATATATATATATAAACTTATATCCCCATTTGGCAGGGTATCCCAACATGTTGGGCGGCCGCCAGGACTTGGTGACGAAGCGGGTGGCCTGCCACGAAAAACCGACGAAGAAAAAACGACGATAGCGGCGGCCTTTGGCTTCCAGTCCTTTGCGATTCATCATGGTTAATGGATGTTAATATATCTGGTTGGTGGTTGACCTAGCCCTCTGAAAAATATGAAAGTCAGTTGGGGTTATTCTTCCCAATATATGGAAAAAATGTTCCAAACCACCAACCAGATATGTTAATATATTAATACGCGCAACGTAGAGGTTTCCCATTCCCAAACAATGTTGATGAAACTTCACAAATTCCTATGGAAAAAACAAAGGCACTAGGGCATATTAAACTCCCACCCCCGTGAGACCTTAAATTCCAATGGGAAAAAACAACAAACGCACTAGGGAATATTGAGCTCCCACCCCCGTTAAAGTTTACATTCAATTGGGAGGATCAACAAAGGTACCAGGGAATATTAAACTCCCACCCCCGTTAAACTTTACATTCAATTGGGAAGATCAACAAAGGTGCTGGGGAATATTAAACTTTTACATTCAATTGGGAAGATCCCCGGTACTAGGGAATATTCAACCCCCACCCCCGTTAAACTTTACATTCAACTGGGAAGATCAACAAAGGTACTAGGGGATATTAAGCCCCTCACCCCCGTTAAACTTTACATTCAATTGGGAAGATCAACAAAGGTATAAGGGAATATTAAAGTTCCACCACCGTTAAACTTCACATTGGTTGAAGATCTTCAATAAGGTTTTAACTCTCCCACCCCCGTTAACTTCTACATTCATTGAAGATCTTCAATAAGGGTTTAATTCTCCCACCACAGTTAAACTTCTACATTCATTGAAGATCTTCAAAAAGGTTTTAATTCTCCCACCGCCGTTAAACATCTACATTCATTGAAGATCCTCAATAAGGGTTTAATTCTCCCACCCCCGTTAAACTTCTACATTCATTGAAGATCTTCAATAAGGGTATAATTCTCCCACCCCCGTTAAACTTCTACATTCACTGAAGATCTTCAATAAGGGTTTGATGATGATGATGGATGATGATGATGATGATGATGATGATGATGGATGATGATGACGATGATGATGCTGATCATGATGATCATGATGATGGTGATGATGATGGTGATGATGATGATGATGGTGATGATGATGATGGTGATGATGATGATGATGCGTCGTCTGTCGTCATTGCGGGTCCGGGCAAAGCCCAGGCATTTGCCGTATTAATATATGCATGTTAATGGATGCTAATGGATGTAAATGGATGTGAATTGGATGGTACCTGGATACTTGGTGGCTCGTCCCACTTAGTAGGTTATATTTTCCTGTTTTGTTTTTTGTTTTCGTGGGATAAGTAGGCTGAATCCACTTGTAACTAGGGCTATAACCTACTAAGGATGAGCCACGAAGTATATATCATGGGATTAGATCGATAGCTATAGTGATGGGATTAAAAAGGATTAATGGGATGAGAATGGGATGTGTATCATGTGATATTCATTAATGGGATTACTAGGATTAATATAATGATTTTCTTTTAGAATCGTAAGTTGCGCCTGTATATGTATACATATATACACCCTGTATATACGCGCACATGTAGGTGTGTGATTGTATTAAAAAAAAACGTGCCACTTTAAATGTTACCAAATCATGTTATCATTTTTTTTGCTCTTATCGTTTTCTCAGGTGGTGGGCTCTCTGTACTAGACTAGAAATATAATTTTTGCAGCTTTCTGTGAGTGTGAAAGTATCCTTGGTCGAAAGTCACCAAATGTAATTGTTTCCTTTCATTTCCTTTCATGTTGCATTCATTTCCCCTAATGTTTCTTTTATATCGCATTGGTTTCCTTTCATTTCGCATTCATTTCCTTTCATCTTCCTTTCATGTTGCTCTCATTTTGCATTCATTTCCTTTCATGTTCCTTTTATTTTGCATTTCTTTCATTTTGCATTTCCTTTCATTTTGTTTCCTTTCCTCATTTTGCATTCATTTTACAGGTCTTCGAAAGATAATATGTTCAAACCAGTCAGATGGGTATCCGTCAAAACGCTCGCGTTTTTCTCATATTTCGTTATCGTTTTGCTATCGTTTTGGAGGCCTGTGCAGGTTGCCATCTCCAGGGTTAATGAACATGTACAGGTATAAGATGGTATAAGCTCAGTATCTTTTTTTTACTCTTATCGTTTTCTGGGCCGGTAATGCATCAGTAGTGCTAAGGGGCAAGCCAAGCTGACCTGAAAGGCCCGGGGTCATTATACTGTCCCATATACATAATGTATCACTTGCTTCGGATTCCTGCGTATGTGCCAGCACAAGCATTTAAAATTCATGGGATCATATGGCATATATGTCGTAGTCGCATGTGTATGCATGTATACACAATTATACACAGAAACACCATCTTCCAAATGTGTTCGAGAAAACCAAAGGATCCCATGGAACCCAAAAACCGAACCATATCATCGACAGCTTCGTCACTCGTCCATCAGCGTGAACATAAACATATAACTTATATTAACTTATATAACTTTAACCAAATTGATGTCACAGTGCCAGTCTTCCAAATAGCTCCAAGCCTGCATTGTCGAGTGGTTCACTGTTTGCCTCTGTCCCCTTCTCTCTTATCTACAAAAAGATCCTCATAAATAACTGTATCGTATCATGCAGGTCAGATATCTGAATATATCTACAAGATTCATAGAAATGCTCATGCAATTTATGATCACACACGGAGTCACCATGAGCGCCTGCTGAATCTGTCGCAGCACAGGGGAGAAAGCGAAGCCATGGAAGTACCTGGCCGCACCAACTGAGCAAACATTTGATCAATTTGATCTATTTGATCTATTTAAACCCACCATATTTTACAATGAGCAAACATAGGAGCCTCCATCAACTGCTATTTACATGCTGGAGCTTGAGGTTGGGATTCTGGGATGAGACATCGATGAAACTTGGTTGATTTGGCTCGGCGTTGGAGCTATCACGTACCCAAATCTAGATGTGTCTTGCTGTCGCTAGTCATGTTTCAGTGAAAGATTGCTACGATATGTCATCCATTTGACAGTGGAAGGCACACACCCAAAATGCTGATGGATTTCAAAGGAAAGTGAAGGCATTCGAAACTACTGCCCACTTTTGCTTTTGGGACTTGTTCAAAGAAGCACACATTTTTCTTTTCAATGACCCCCAAATGGCCCGGGTTCAGATATGCAAACCCATAAGCGCTTCCAAGTGGCTTAAAGTACGAAAAGAAACTCATAATAATCGCCGCCAGCATGAGGAGGACCGAACCTGAAATGACTCCGATTCAGTCACAAAATAGATTTAAGTAAAATCTAGACGTGCCATCATGATTCATATTAGATAATATTGATACGTCAATATGATCATATATGATCATATATAATCATCATCCTAGATAGAATCTCTGTCTCCACCATCTTTAACATGATTTACCACAAGCCGGCACCATACCCCTGGACCGCTTCAGCGGCCCCCTTGGGGCTCCCAGCAGTCCACCAGGCTCCGACCCAAACGACAATCCTCCTTGGACTCCTGGAAGCGATAGAGGCCGAGACCGCAGCAGAAGAGCACCGTGTTCACGAACAACAGGACCATCCTCCGATGTTACCGTCTGGTTATGTCAAAATAGCTATTGAAAATGGCCATAGAAATAGTTGATTTTCCCATTAAACATTGCCATTTCCAAAAGCTATGTTGATTTACCAGAGGGTATGAGCACGGGAAATCCCCGAAGCAAATGATGAGAAAACCTAGGAAGGAAAAGCCGATGAAACGATGGAACATCCAGGAAGATAGAGCATCAAACTAAACTCGGAAATGTCCATTGCCATGTTTGACTAAAACCTACGATGGGATCATGATCTCATTACCAGGGTTGAAAAGGACATATAGTTGAAACCACCAACCAAATATAACCAAATAAGTTATGAGTTGTGATAAATATTGAGAAATAACTTCCATGTGCCTCTTTTTGAATGGGGTTGTCTATCATACTATCCCAATCACTGGGGTTATCTACCAGTGCAAGGTGGTGTAATTAGCTTGCTAGAGCCGGGATCATGAGATATACATACTCAAATAGACCGCTAGAAAGAATTGGGCTCTAGGCTCTAGAATATTTTTCTTTACGGCAAATTGGAGCTTTTGGCTTCCGTGTTCAATTTTCAGGGGGGGTTCTGATTCAACCAATGGTTGATTTTTGCCTTGGGGGGATTGCAGGCCAAACGGAGCCAAGAAGCGTGACAGAGCGATGCATCCACCAAGTGCATCCCCTGACAGTGGCCGAGGGTTGGAATTCAAGCTACAGAAATGATCAGATGCGAACATAGGAAATTAATGAAAAAGACAATAAGAACATATGGATATTAGTCAGATTCAAGTTATCATCAAAATTAACCATCAATAAATGGAGAAACGATAGGATTCACCATGAATATCATCAATATGATGTTAATCGGGATGTGTATAAAACCAACCATAAATGGGGATATACTGGGTTAGAATAGGATACAGCCATATTTGTATTATGTTCCACTATTTTAATATAGGGAAAGCAAGAATAAACCATCTGATTTGGGGGAACACTATCTTTAGACACACCCACACACCTGTCCCTGGACAATTTCCTGTCTTAAGAAAATCATCAATAGATGGCGGATTGCACGTGCCAGGTTTGTCTACGAGACGGAACCTTAGCTACCCGGCCAGAAAATGAGTGATGGGATGTGTGGATATTCCAAGTCCTCCATTTATTGACATATAATTAAAAAAAACAAACACATATCTCCCATTCACACAGCAACCTAAGTTTTACTGAGAATGGGATAGATGTCAGTCAGATGCCAGCAAACATGAGGGAAATAATCGAGATATCTTGCCAAACATCAGGTTTTATATCTAACATCAACCAGAATTTGCAGATACCCCAAGCGGTCACGGGTATCTCCGTTGGGAATAGAATGAACCATAAGGATATCGGATATGCCCAAAATGTCTTGGATGTTCCGGGAAAAACAGAAGCCAGTGCATGGTTCTGTTTCGAGCTGTTCAGTTTCGGAAGTGGATGATGGCAAAGTCAAACATCATTACTTTATATTATTTTATATTATATTCCTATGTAACTTAAACGCATGGCATTGACAGCAAACAAATAGTCAAACAGGTTTCCTTTCACTGACAGATGTTTGCTTTTGACAGCTGTCAGGGTTTGTGCAAGTACAGTATCGAACACACAGCCAAATAACATGAAAGCATATTTCTCACAAACTGGCCTTCACACACACATGTGACATTGCAATGCCGTATCGCAAGTTAGCAGTGGTGAGCCTGCCGGGCTTGCAGCTGACGTCTCGGCTTCTGATGATATCGGTGAATCGTGCGTATCACACCAGAGGGGCCTGCCTGCCAAACTGGTTGCGCCTGCTTGAATCACGCTTCCCCCGTGACAGGGCGGATAATTGCCGCTCTGGTGCGACAACGCACGACAGGTGCTGAATAGATCCGCTGGACCCTTTCCGAGCATCAATGCAACATGGTGTAAAGACATCAAAAACACACTTGTCCAGTTAGAAGGCGAAGCAGCTGCCATTAAGAGACTGACAACACCAGGCTGGGACCCATAAGCACAGGCACATGTAAGCGGCGTCTCGTGAAGAAGGTTGCAACCTCTTGGGTTTGCTGAAGAATGCAGAAGAAGCTCCACGCAAGAGAGGGTGCCATATATCGCTGCAGTGTGAAGGGGTGAATCGTTCTCAGAATCTAGCGCGTTGACATCTGCTCGTGCGCGCAAAAGATCTGGAATGATGTGCGGTAAGCACTGCCTGGATGCTAAATGTAAAGCCGTGCCGCCAAAATCGTATCGGCAATGCACGTCGGCAAAAGCTGCGATCAGCATGGCAGCGATCTCAGATGTGTTGACACGTGGATGTGGTTCAGACTGCGAATCCAAGGCTGCATACAGAGGAGGCGTGCCTGCTGAGTTCAGAGCATTTGGGCATTGGCCCCGTGCAAGAACGCTGTTGACCGCCACAGCATCTGCCGCCTCAATCGCAGCAAACAACAGCTCCGCTTGGTCGCAGCGCTGTGATACCACGGCAACCTGTAGCCGGAGAGGTGAATTTGCGTGGAGAATTTGGCTTCCACTGAGACGTGAACCTGGAGCAAAGCAAACTCGGACCAGATAGGGCGATGTATGCAAGATGCGCGCAAGCGACGCGCTTAGCACGGCTGGAACGAAGGACCCCTGGAACTGCGTGCTTGCAATTTCAAGCTCGGGAAGCTCTTCCCCGCTGAACGCCTGTGCAGCCACAACAACTGACGAAACATAAATTTCCATACGGGAAAGGGGCATTGAACCAGGATCTGTGGTGAAATAAATGTTGTCCCAAGGGAGCGAGGAAAAGTAGCAGCATGCGCCGCCGCACAGAGCATAGTAGTGCCTTTGGCCGTGTAGTGCTTTGCACGACGAAAAGATAGAGGACGACATAGACCCAAAGGGCTCTAACCGTTGCAAGATCATGAGCAAAGCATCGAAGCTTGATCGTGGCCACTGCTGAGTCATGATCAGAGACGTGGGCTCGGAGCTTGCAGGATATGGGGGTTTCCTCTGGGTTGGAAAAATACGCTGCATGGTTTCAGTCGGAAGGTACGTTAAAAAATCGAAAAGTCGAAAAAATGAAAAGTGGAAGGGTCTCATTTTCAATTTCAAAAAGTCGAAAAGTTGAAAAGTGGGCAGGCTTCATATTGAATTTCGAAAAGTTGAAAAGTGGAAATGCTTCAAATTGAATTTCGAAAAGTCGAAAAGCCGAAAAGTCCCTTCTTTCATTTTCCGAAGCGTCGGATATGTCAAATCATATGTGCTTTCTTTAGGGAAACCAGGATCTTATTTCCCTTCTTTCATTTTCGGCAGCGTCGAGTAGTTCAAATTCATATGTGTTTTCCTTTGCTTGTATTGGTGGAAATAAACATCTTATTTCCCTTCTTTTATTTCCTGAAGCATCCAGTAGTAGACATAATATGTGCTGTTCTTAAAAATTCCATGTGGGAAATAAGCATCGTATGGGTTACTTCAAATATGGACTCTGCGCTCTTTGTTTCGAAGCCTTGACAACTGTTTGCACGGAACAAGACGACACCTTGGCAGAACATCACTGCGTTGCCCTGACAGATGAGGGTGTGCACGCTGCGGCGACCTTGCTGAATGCTTGTCGAGTAGGTGCAGGATGTCGTTTGTCGCAAGCAGATGCAGCTTGGGTACGCAATGTCATTGCGAATGGTGAAAACTTCTTGCCTGATTTGCTGCGTGAAGTGCCATTATCAGCACCCAGACCGCCAACGAGTGTTTGCGGATCACGCTGTCCAGCATTTTGTGCCAGTGCGGGCCGAAGAGCTGCCAAAACCTACACATAGCGCAATGCTGAAAAAAACATGCAGCTGTTGACGCTGGACTGTGTGTGTGTGTGTCTGATGGAGAGACTACAACTAACGTGAGATATACTGTAGTTAAGCTTTGCTGCAATGCATGAACATCTCGCGTGAGTTCCCACGAGTGCAGTGTGAAGAGTGAAGTGTGAAGTGTGGAGTGTGAAGTGTGAAGTGTGAAGAAAGCAGTGAGAAGTGAGAAGTGAAGTGTGGAGTGTGAAGTGTGAAGGGTGAAGTGTGGAGTCTTAAGAGTGCAGTGTGAAGTGAAGTGTGGAGTGCGAAGTGAGCAGTGTGAAGTGTGAAGTGTGGAGTGTGAAGTGTGAAGTGTGGAGTGTGAAGAGTGCAGTGAGAAGTGTGAAGTGCGAAGTGGAGCTTCAAATGTGACATGTGAAACAGGACAGCACTTTCGCAGAATGCACGCACGCACGGGCCTGGCTGGCGCACGGTGCACGCAAGTTCTATAGGTGAGAAAGGTCTTATTGTATCTTATAGTATATCCCTAAGGCAACTTCCGCCCCGCCTCGTGCGGGTACTACTGGTATATATATATTATGATTAAATATGTATTTTGTATTTGGATTAATTTGGGATTCAAGCATAACATGTGTTTGCGTGGAGACATTCTTTCACCTTTTGACTCTTGTTTTTTTTTGACGTGTCTTTTTCTCGGAGCAAACGACAGTTTTGAGAAGGAAAAACTAAAAGTCGAACGAGTCGCAGGAAAATTCAAGGGGTAGAAAGTTGAAAAGTGGAAAGGCTTCATTGTCAATTTGGAAAAGTCAAAAAGTCAAAAAGTCAAAAAGTGGAACGGTGTCATTTTCAATTTCGAAAAGTCGAAAAGTTGAAAAGTAAAAAGGCTTCGTTTTGAATTTCGAAAAATCGAAAATTCGAAAAGTATACTTTTTGACTTTTCACTTTTTGAAATTTGTCGGATGTCTTTCCGGTTGAACATGCGCAGTTCTTTTTTTCCAGCTTAGGGTTTCCTGAAATAGAGGTACTCCCAAATCATCACTTTTAATGATATTTTCCATTATAAACCATCCATTGGGTACCACCATATATGGAAACCCCCATATTATCACACATTCCCGCATTCCCAATGCCATGGCTCAGGCCTGCGCATGCTTGTAGGTACATAGCTCAAACAGCGCCTTGCGGGGCACATCGCCAGTCTCAGAACGAAAGGGAACACGTTGACCTATGAAGAAGCGGCTCTTCAATGGGCATGCATTTCCCCCAAAAAAAGAGGGCCACACTTCTGCCTTGCTCTATGGAACAAGTCACCGGAACCTCAACTGTTGCATTTTTCTGAGGCTTCACCAAATCTGCCATCACCGACCCCCTGGACAGCCGCACTTCATCAGTGGTGTGCGGGAGGGCTCGAACAAGATGAAGTCACCCCAGGCCAGGTTTAACACCTACAGCGACGGACGATCTGCTGGTTGAGCCACCATCTCCTTGGGGTTTTCGGTTTTCACACTGATCTTGAAGGGATAAAAAGGAATAGAAATCGAAAAACTGGAGAGTTATTTTATAGAATAATTTTACATGAACTCGATCCTGGCTCATCAAACCTTGCCGAACCACCACGGACTTGTGTCCATCGGCACCAAAAGAAGCTCCGTCAGTCGGCACCTCCAGCCAAAAGCGCACTCGAACGTGTTCCTGCATGCTGAGACCTTGAAGAAACGGAGAGCATGCCAACAGTGTCTAGTTAGTATTCACAAAAACAATGAGGACAATAGGAATAATCCTGAAGAATCCTTTGTGTGTGTCACCACCATGATCAATGTGGAGAAATTGTCAACAGCACTGATTCACCAGACAAGAGAAACTGGTCTTGCAATACTTCAAAGCCGGCTTAAAGTAGGATCCAGACTAATCGCATCCAAACATCCTGTGCAGGACCCCAGAAAAGGCTGGAGTGATCTGAATGTTTGGCGCAGGAAAACTAACGTTGGTGGAAAGCAATTGCAATCCGGTCCTAAGGCCGTCTCTGCTACTTTTCAATTTCCATCCATGGATCTTGTGAAGGAATTGGGCAAAAGGATGTTCCTCCAAAAGCCTTCGCCTTTGTAAGTTGTGTATCAAAGAGGTTTGCAAACATCATGGTTAATTCTGCAATCGTCTAAGATCACTGAAGCATGCTGAAGCAATCTGTGCATCAACATCAACCACCATTTTTATAGCAAGATTCCAAACCATGTCCAAACTCAGGATGCAACTGTCCAAATCAGTGAACAAAACCGCTAAAATACAGCTCTAAACCGCTCCTGCTCCTGTCAATGCAGTGATTTGTGCCAAGCTCCTAGCATTCGTCCCAAGGCTCTCTCTCATTGGGCGGGCACATCGGCATAGAAATACATCTCCATGGCCCCAAAAGTGGCATGACATGTTCTTTTTACATGTGCAAAAACATTCAGTTTCTACATATATATGGTCCCGGCCGGCGGCCGGCAACCCCCCCCCCGATGGTATCCCCCCCCATATATGTATATACTGTATATGTATATATGTATATACACATGAAAAACATATGTGTATATATATATATATATATACACATTTATTTAGATACATATGTATCCCCCCTGCATACATACATACATTACATTACATTACATTACATTACATTACATTACATTACATTACATTACATACATACATACATACATGCCTATACCTACCAACCTACGTAGGTACACACATACTACACCCAACCCACCGCACAGGGGGGGGGCGGGGAAGCAGAGGTACCTTGCATGATAGTTGGATTCCAGGGAGGTAGTACACCCAATCCTAGGAACCATCCCCATCGCGGTGGGGGAGGGGGGGGCTGCAGGCCTGTACCATATATATAATATTATATACACGTACGAGTCCGAGGGGTAACTTGCCCCAAAATCTATGAACTTACCCCACCGCATGGCACACCGCTTACCCCACGACCCCAAGAACTTACGCCATGTGCAAATCACCATGGCACACCGGCCCTCACGGACAGGTTTTTGGATTGGTTTGTTCTTTTCCTAAGGGATTTGGTACATTTTACATCAGTTCGTGAATTCTTTGACCTCACCCCAAATGTCAAGGAACGCATGGCACACCTACAAGATGTTTTCTATCAACCCAAGTTCTCAGATGTAATTCCCATTGTCGGAACAACATATTTAATCTCTAAGAATGTCATCCATGATTGTTTTTCCCATTGGCACACCGAGTACATCCAAGTACTCAGGTAACAGTTTTCTTTCTGCAGCCGATCACTTTGCCGATCCATGTATGTGCACATTGTTTTCCTATGCGGACTGCAACGCTTTGTACCGTTTATCTGTCTTAAACCTGACACAAAGCGTTGTAAACCGCATGGCACACCATCAGCTTGACCTCTAGAAGACCAGGAGTTCTACATGACATTATCATTGCGTTATTTTTACGAGATCCTTCCGAGGTCTTTACGAGATCTGTACGAGATCTGGATTTTGCAAGGCAAGGCAGCAGGGCAAGGCAGCAGGGATCTTTTCTACTCTTCCCTTCTCTGCTCTAGGCCTCTCTAATCACTTCTACTCTTCAATTCGATTCTCTTCTCTACTCTTCTGTATATAGTCTCTTCTACTCTACTCTTCTCTTCTACTGTTCTCTCTTCTGTGCGAGTCAAGCTATTGAGAAGCCATCCCCATGAGTTTCTATCTCAAGAAGAATATGTCTCAAAAACATGTGTGCCCCTGTAAAGTGTTAGAAAAAATCAATGCCACAAACAATTGATTCATCCAGCAAGAATGACATGTATATCATGGACTTCCCAACGGCACACCGTTTGCGGCACAAGAAGATGACCGCGGCATAAGTTACCACTTTGACCCAGTACAAACTGTATATAATCATGATATGGCATGTTTCCCTACTGCAAAAACGGATCTGTGCCTGCTCGGCGGAGAAGGAACCTGATGCCACTTGAACATAATTTTCGCGTGGATACCGTTTCGGCACTGACTCTGGTGGCTTTCTTGGATGCAGAGTCGCAGAATCTTCATCAGATTGCGTCTCATTGTGCTATGTCTCCGGTGATATTCGGTTTCAGGGGCTCAAAGCTATGTACATCTATGTTTGCAGTCTGGAGTGGAAAGGTTGCCTTCTGCAAGTAACCCATCTCCAAGTGCAATGAACAGCTCATCTCAAAATACCAAACGCTTGGATGTTCCTCAAGAAATGCCAAATCAGACTTCCTGTCCTCACTAGAAAGCTGCAAGTTGGACAAGGCAGCAATTTCTTCGGGTTTCTGATTGGCTGAGTCTCCCGGCATATCCAACCTTTGAACTCCCAACGTGAAGCGGAGTGAAAGCGATCTCGCTAATGCCTCTGTTCGAAGACTGGTGAAAAAGAGCATGGTAGGTTAAGAGAGTCTTCATACGCAACATCTGGGTTTAAGGAAAAAACAGGTCCCCATCCTCCAATATCCTTTGCACAACTGGGCCGAACTTCAGATCTCAACCAGAAAGGTAGCCCATTGTCTTTAGACATTCAAATGCCCTTCAACATTATCTTAAAAAAGGTCACGCCAGGGCCGCCAGGGATCTCTAAACAAGCCGGCCAAACTGTTGTCCTCATTCGGCCGAGCGTAGTCATTGACAGTGCCTGTGACCAATACAAAGGGACCTGGGATGCAAGCCGACGGTCAAACATCCACCGGCACCGGAAACATACAGCGATATGAGATGCAAATGTGTGTGTACATACAATATATGATATCGTATATGTGTATAAAATTGTATAAATGTAAATATTCACTACGTTAGCCTCATATTTACATATTCATATTACATTACATTGCATTACATCACATTACATGTATTTGCACACCAAATGGAGCATGCATTTGTTAACAACATCACATTTGCTTGCTGGCACTAACTAAGTCACTACAGTATGATCTGTGCAGATTTCTTCCGCTCCTGTAGTTTCTGACTGATGCTTTACATCTTGAATTCTCAAGAACTCTCCACTTTCCGGCACATGTTTTTGGGTAGCATCTGTAGTGGTTTCAGTCTCTGATTCGTCTCACACTCTGCCTTTTCGAGGACGTGACACCATGGATCAAGCTTCAACTCCAGCATATTTCGATCCTGTGGCCCCGGTGCTTATCCATGGCTCCCCCGGTGGGACACAGCCCCTGCCGAAGCCCCCGTCCTGGCCATGGGCGAAAAAGTTCTGCTGCAAACAGCGGACGTAGTAGTGATGCCACAGCGATTCTGGCAGGCAATGTTCAAAACTCTCGGCAAATTTCTGCGAAAAAAGGGATTGTTGGAAAAAACATGGGATTGTGATGGATTGTAATGGATTATGATAGATTATAATGGATTATAATGGATTATCATGGACTATAATGGTTTATAATGGCTTATTATGGATTATAATGGATTATAATGGATTACAATGCATTATAGTGGATTATAATGGATTATAATGGATTATAATGGATTATAATGGATTATAATGGATTACAATGGAATATAATGGATTACAATGGATTATAATGGATTATAATGGATTACAATGGATTATAATGGATTATAATGGATTACAATGGATTACAATGGATTATAATGGATTATAATGGATTATCATGGGTTATAATTGGATATACTGGATTAGTATGGATTACAATGGATTAAAATGGAATACACTGGATTATAATGGATTACAATGGATTGTAATGGATTACAATGGATTATAATGGATTACAATGGATTATAATGGATTATAATGGATTACAATGGATTACAATGGATTATAATGGATTACAATGGATTACAATGGATTATAATGGATTATAATGGATTATAATGGATTATCATGGGTTATAATTGGATTATAATGGGATATACTGGATTAGTATGGATTACAATGGATTAAAATGGAATACAATGGATTATAATGGATTATAATGGATTACAATGGATTGTAATGGATTACAATGGATTATAATCGATTACAACGGATTACAATGGATTATAATGGATTATAATGGATTATAATGGATTATAATGGTTTACAATGGGTTACAATAGATTATTATGGATTATAATGGGTTATAATGGATTATATATAATGGATTATAATGGATTACAATGGATTATAATGGATTACAATGGATTATAATGGATTGCAATGGATTTTAATGGATTGCAATGGATTAAAATGGATTATAATGGATTACAATGGATTACAATGGATTATACTGGAATATTATGGATTATAATGGGTTATAAGGTATTATTATGGATTACTGTATAATGGATTATAATGGAATACAATGGACTACAATGGATGGCAATGGATTATAATACAATATAATGGATTATAATGGATTACAATGGATTACAATGGATTATAATGGATATGGATTATAACGGATCATAATGGATTATTATGGATTACAATGGATATGGATTATCATGAATTATAATGGATTATTATGGATTATTATGGATTACAATGAAATATAATGGATTACAATGGAATATAATGGATTACAATGGATTATAATGGATTACAATGGATTACAATGGATTACAATGGATTATAATGGATTACAATGGATTATAATGGATTACAATGGAATATAATGGATTATAATGGATTATAATGGATCATAATGGATTACAATGGATTACAATGGATTATAATGGATTGTATTAGGGGTTCCATGGGTGTCCCAAGGATTGGGAGAAAAATAACAATGTTTTTTTCCTGGAGATTCCCATGGATTGTGATATTCCCCAAGATATTGGTGAGATCCCGGAACGAATCATCAACCAACACTGGTTGGTGGTTTTAACCCCTCTGAAAAATATGAAAGGCAATGGGAAGGATTATCCCATATATGATGGAAAATAAAAACATGTTTGAAACCACCAACTAACCAACATGTGACCCAACCTGAACTGAACTCAATTCCCGAACACTGCGACCTTGTCCAGCTAAATCCCTTCAAATTACTCCTCCTCGTAGTGGTGCATAGATGCGATGATAAACACCACACACTTGCCAGTGAAAACAATGCATATCAAAACGCGGCCTCATTCACTTACCTCGAAGTTGACTGGTGGTTGAGCCACCCATTAAAAATGTTTCATTGATAATGTTTCGTTGGAGATAATCCTCAGATTTTTGGAGATGGAACATACAAATGTAAGACCACCACCTGGAGGGTGATATTGGTTGCTTTACAACATCAACATATGGAAACTAGATAAAATTTCGTTCACACTTAGTGTGAAGTAAATTCCACATGTCTTGATCACCAAACATCTCAAAGAATTGTTCCAGCCCAGCAACTCCGGACATTTTCTCATTTCCAGCCACATTTCCAGTCGCGAATCCCAGTAGAATCTGAGAGTCCCGCTGATTTCTCGCAGAAACGGCAGGGTGATGCAAGAGAGGCCACAAAGGATGATCACTGTGAGGTCCCTGGGAACGTCTCACCCATCAGAATTGCATGTAGCTGTTGGATACATGTTGTATCATGTATATATATATATACATATATATATATACATATATATATAACACATATGATACACATATGTACTGTGCTATATATTATGTTACGTGCATAAGTATGATATTTAATTATATACATTTATGAGGTTTCACCTTGAATCCGTGGTTCCATCAAGTGTTTATTTTAGAGACTCCAGGCTCCAGGTTGCGAAATCGCATGCTGCCAAGCCAGGTTGCCACACCAGGTCTCCTTCTGATAGTGGACGAAGTTCAAGATCCTTAAAAGATCCCCGAATTTGCTGCTTCTATGCCCACTTCTCATGAAAAAACACCATTTATGTTGGCTGATCCCTATTGATGTTGAGTGATGCTGATTGTAAATACCGATTGTTTTCTCCTGTTGTTTCCATGTTTCTCTGTGGCATCAATGGCCACAGCATGGCTGAAGACATGGATATTTTTGTGACTTGTAGCACTCCGATGTGGTCCCAATATGCTGAGGTCCAAAACGAATTCCTGAAATCAAATTTAGGGATTTGGACCATGATGTTCCTTTTTGGGAAGTGGCCTTAAAGAATAAACCTGCCGGGTTTACACCTTGCTGCTTTAAAACACCGTCCAAACCTTTAAGCCACCGCACGGCTGTTGGGTCAAGGGGCCAAAGACCCGAAACCTGGGCCGCGGCCCTGCTGGTGGCTGAACCATCTCTGGTGGCACTACCATAGAAAATTCCAAAGACTGTAATGTGGTGAACCCAGAAGCCAGGAAATAAAAACCCCAGTTAGGGGTGGTTTCTTGGTATGGCTTCTTGTTTCGTTTACCACATATGCTTCCTGAGTTTTGTAATTAAGTTCAGAAACGGAGCTCAATGTCCGACCACCAGTGGTGAAAGGCAGATCAACCAGGCTTCCGTGCTGCACGAAGGCTGAAATGAAGACAAGAACCCTCAGCACCCAAAGTCGGACTGGGACATCGGGGCCCGAGAGTTGTCATGAGTATTCATGAGAAATCTCAGAAGTTGTCAGAAATCGTTTCCATCAGACTCCATCCTTGCAAATCGAGTGCATTGCCAAATCCTTGATACAGTACCCTTCACATCACACTGAGGCATCCACAGGAGGGGACCACAGGTCAACACCACAGCAGGGAACCTGGACGCAAATGCCGTTGCCATGCAGACTGGGCAGACTGGGGAGCTTGGCTTTCCGTCACCGACCCAACACACCATTGGTGTCTTTGAAACTGGGCTACCCCAAAACATCCAAACAACCATGGGTTTCCCTAAGCCTATTCAACTTCACAACTCTTGGATGATTTTGGCCACCCACAGATTCATTTTTCGATAATCGAGCAGAAAAAGACATCAGAAACCCTTAAACTGGTGATCCCTGGCCCTCGAGAGTGTTTGCTGGCCGAGTGGCAAAGAGGGAATAAACGGAAGCAACAGAATTGATGCCTTGCCATGGACATTGCAACAACATTTTGCAGGACTGGCAATGGGTGTCAGCGAACAAACTCACAATATCGGCAGTCATGATACTTTCACTGGATTTGTCATAGACGAGATGCACAACAAATCGTTAAAACATCATGGCATATCATGACACATGATCTTTCACCGATATTTTATCCTTTCTCATTGCACCGTTGAGCAGGGATAGATCTGAACAGCTAATGCCGCTCATCATCTTTGCGCCAAGAGACTGCCAAGACTGCTATGATGATGAAGATAATGACTTTGATATCTAACCACCTGCCAGATTGCCAGATCGAGACATTCATCCAGAAGGTTTGCTGCACCATCTACAATGGGGCAGCAGCTGACATATTCATATATGGAGTTGTAATCCAAATTTTAATAGGATTTTCATAGGATGATTTTCCATAAAGTAAACCATCCAATTCCAATTCCATCCCAGCAACCATGGTGACTGGCACCGGCCCTTGCCTCGGTTGCCGCCCATTGTCCATCATGCGCCTTAGAGAGCCCTTACAAAGGTACACTAGAAATCACTAGAATGTAGATGTAAATACTGTAAGATGATGTAAGATGCACATTTTCCATTTTCTTAAAATGACAAATGATGATGGTTGAACTGGTTAAATAATGATAAACCAGGTAGTGCCATCCCTTAGTATAAACATGTATAAACATCCACGCCAAAAATCACTGAGTTCTCCAGGCGTGACGTAAAGGTCGCCTTCAATGAGGTGCCTCGTGTGGTGAAACTGAGGGCAAGCTATGGCCTCAACGTGGTTTAGGGGGAAACATCTGCAGAAAATCATGATTTTGACCCAATGTAGGGCATAATTCATGGGAGTTTCCTGTAATTTTTTAATTGAACAAATTCGTGGACACCACTCGAATCTCACATGACACACATATTCAGGATCCCATGTTCTGAACCGTTTTAACGGGAGTAAACCTGTAGAATTTCGATGAATGAAACAACAAACATGGAGACCAATGACGTAGCCATGTAATTGATCACAGCTGGGCTATCTCCATATATATATATATATATACATACACATATATACATATATATATATATACACATACATACATATATATATATATGTATGAATGTATGTATATATATATATGTATATATAATTATATGTATGTATATATATATATAATCATATGTATGTATGTATATATATATGATTATATGTATGTATATATACGTATATATATATATATCCTAATGGTACAAGATATTCGAAGCCGATGCCATAAATTCGTACCAGTAACCCATAAAGGGGGGTCATAACATCGACATCATCCCAGGGGCCCAGTTCCCTCCATTGGGGATGATCCTGAGATGAGACACGACTTGAGTTGTGGAAGATGCAACATGAAGGTACCTTGGGCCAAAAAGAAGTACCGGGTACCGTTTTCTGGATCCCAAAAAATGGATAAACATGGCTTGTTTTGATAAACACGGATTGAAGCATCCAAAATTTTCTCTGAGACATTGGCGGACACAGACTACTGCAAGGAATCACAGTTTCTGGCAGAGGTGTATGGTAGATGTGATTGATCATGTTCTCCAAATTACTGGTTAGCTTCATATACATTTGCATTCCTACCTTGTCTTTGGCTACGTCCCACCACCATCACCATCAACATCACCGCCAGCATCGTGGGCACCGTCTTTGCGGCAGTCGAAGCTTTCCTGAAATCTGTTTTGCATGTACCACCTCAGGGAAGCAGCTTTCAAGCTTCGCATGTTTGTGCAAAGAAACAAATCCACATATATATGTATATATATAGATAATCAAATAAATAAATAAATAAATGAATGAATGAATGAATGAATATATATATATATGTATATTATATTATATTATATTATAACATATCATATCATATCATATTATATCATATCATATTATATTATATTATATTATATAAAAATCATTATGTATATACGCATACGTATGCGTGTATGTATATGTCTTGACAAGGCCTGTCGCAACAACTGCAAGGTGTGGCATCTGGGCGGCCCCAGCGGTATGTCATGTTCCAAGAAATCGCAGGGGTTCAACGGGGCGGCGTTGCCAGGAATGGTGCCATTGCGGCATGTGTATCCTGAGAGCAACACTGCCTGCTGGTGTGGATGGAGAGCCAATATCTGCACACATGTGCAACATCTGCAACATATTGCGTTCTCATATATATATATCTATGTATACATATATATATATATGTATGTATACATATATATATGTATATATATATGTTTATTTTCCATGTGTATATATATATACGTATATATATATAAGCATCGGAATGCACATAACATGTCTAATTTTCAAGATATATACAGTAATATACATGTCTTAAGAGGAGGTACTGGCATCCTGTTTTGTGATTCAAAGACTGCAGGCACAGCGAAGAGGTGAACATCATCCGTACGTCCAAAAAATCTGCAGCGTGAAATTTCACCAAATTGACGACTTATATGTTTAATTGCTGATTTGGTATCCTTTAGGCCCCTCAGTCTCTGAGAATCCAACGAGCGCAAATGCCATATCGAAGTGCACTCCTAGGTTTGTCAGATGGGTCTGAGCATGGTTGGTTTCACCCTCCGAAGGCTCACCATCTACAGTTGTGGCAACCCAACCAGCAAAAAGCGGAAGCAAATCATGGCAAAATGAGAGTTCCCCTGAAAATGGTGGACCATGACCCCAAAATCATCCAGAAATTGCAATCTTTAGGGAAATCAATGGGTTTTGGGCCATGTGCCCCATCTTAAAGAAACATCAGCCTCTCGGTCAAGTCGCCATCCCTTGAGGTCGTAGGTTAGCACCTCTGCCTCAGGCTTCGATATGCTTGTTCCACCAACTCTGCGGGGCCTCATCCGGTATCTTATTCAAATGGCTTTGAAAATTGGACAAACAATTTTTGATTATCATCTTCCAAATTGTTAATATCTGTTCATAGCAATTTTGGGGCATCCCCAATGTTGGGGCACAGCCAAATATCATGGGATATCATGTGAATAGGGTAGTTATATCCCATTTACAACCCAATGAAATAACCGATGGTTTCATCCCCGTTTTTGATGGTGAACAGTGATGAATACCCATATCTCCATTTATTCATCGCCAATATATATATATATGCTAACATCATGATGGTTGATATAATTATATATAATTATATATAATAATATATATATGTATTGATATACCATATAATATCCCCATACATATTCATATTATATTATCATATATTGATGTTTAACTGTTTACGCCCCCGATCCAGGATGGCATCCTGCCACCTGAGCTCCTCACAAAGGTGGCAAACCACACCTGCGCAGCTAGAGTTGTTGGGACGAAAACCATGGAATTTCACCGGCAAAACCATGGATATCATAATATATCATAATATGATATGAGTTGATATAACATCATATAACCAATAATTATCAATAATTCGGCTCATTTGGGTGTTTCTGAACATGTGATATACCCCAATTTATGGCCATATATGGCAAATTCATGAGGAAAATGATGACGAACCACTGGATTTTGAGGGCCCTATTTTTGTACGAAGCCACATGGCATGGAACAGCTTTTCACAACTCACTAAGTAGATCATCTCTACCATCCGTTTCTGGAAAGTTATGGGGTTGGTTTATTATTGATCTCACCACATCAGGAAGTCCAAGATTTGAATGGTGATCACCAAACGCCTCAAAGTGATGATGATTTGTTTTTGCATGTTTTCACAGTCTGCTGACTCACTGAGATGGAACTGGAATATTCCCTTTGTTACCTAGATTGCCACAATTCATTGCAGTAAATCTCATAAACTGGTTCCTGACTGCAATATTTACGGGTAATCAAACATGGCTGGCTGGGAACACCCCGAGCAAAATATCGACAATTGGAGTTTTATAGGAAAAACATCTATATCGCGACATACCCTCTGCTAATCATACGTGGATGGCTGCGAATTCCTCTGTGAATGGTGGTTTTAATGGAAACATCATCTGGGGGTTTCCATAAATGGGGGTACCCCAAAAGTTGGATGGTTAAAAATCCATCCCATCTATAAATGGATCATAACTGGGGGTACCCCTATGACTTAGGAAACCTCCATCAATGGGGATATTATATCAATATATATATATATATATCAACCATCATAATTTATTAGCCATAAACAAATGGAGACATCATCTACAATGAGGATTTACCCAGCCGGGTAGCCATCTCCAGGCCACCAAACTAAAGCACAAAGGATGGCCAGGGCAGCCGCAAATCGATTACACACCTGGGACCAACCGACATCAACCGACCCCCAAAAAACCATAAAAAACCCACTGGAATTCGGACATTCATTGGGTTGTTTTTAAGGGAAAACTTACAGAAAACCGTTGATCTTTGGTAAAAAACCACGGGTTTCCTGTAGATCTTCCCACGATCGTCCCATTGGACCATAGAAAGGGATGGGTTGTTGTCCCAAAAAACATCGGGAAAATCCAAAAAACCATCCAGTGGTCCAGTGGTGAACATCATTTTCCCCAGTCAACTTGCCATAGATCTGGGATTGTCATGGATTGATGATGATCAATGCACAACTTTTGGGCCAAATATGCCACCAAAAATATTGGGCATGCTCCCTGTCGCATTCACTGCGACGGCCTTTTTGGGGCTTTACAATTCATCTGCTGGTGCTGCATCAACCCTAGATGAAATACCCCAAAAAAGAACAAACTGAGCAGTGGAACTAAAACCTATTGCACAAATTTTTATACTGATTGGTTGATGATGATTGATGATGAGGATCAGACAATGATAATCGCCAAACAATTAAAGGGCAGTGTAATCCCTACAATAATGACCAACCATCATTTCTCAACTACATCTCCATATTTTTTTGTTGGTCAAAACCCATTTTTTCGTGAATGTTTCCAAAAAACAAAACTCTGATAATAATCAATCAACTTTTTGTGAAGCAAATCCTGCTTTGATGTCAAAAATCCAGAGTTTGCTGGCTGGCCCAGTGACGCCACAGAGGCTGTGGGAAATCATGTGAACTGTGTACCTCGGAAGATGAAAACACAACCTGCGGATTTTTTTTAAAAAAAATCTCGAGCGTCTTAACTCCAAACTTCCATCCAACTCAGGCATTGCGAAGAGTGGAAGAACAATGAAGAACATGTTCGGACTGTCTTTCACTGTTTTACTCTAGTGGAACTCGTGAGCTTCCCAGCCGCACATCTTTTTGGTTGGGCTCCTGAAGCAAAGCAAAACATTGAAACAGCAGAAACCCTAAGGGGGTAAACAATCGAAGTTGCTTGGAGGTGCCAAAAAGATGGAACATGTGTAGTGTCATCTAGTGTCAAAATAGTGTCAATATGTTGAAACCTGAAATGTTCACCCTGACATCTTCAAGTGGGTGTGTATGCAAGAATTCCGGGTACATGAACATCAACATTGGTTTCCCAGCCTGTAATCTATGACATTCTATGACTTTGGGTTCCGAATCATCCTTGAAGATGCGTTATGTTTTGTACATACTCCTAGTTCCTATTTTCGCTGGCTCAGCGGCTCATATCCGCAAATTCTTTCTTTTGGATTCCTCTCTCCGAGTTCGATTTATCATTATCATCAGTGTGAACGTGCAATTATGAGCATCATTACTCCTATACACTACTTCTTTTTGACTTGGCCATGATTTCAACCACTCCATGGCGCCTACAGCAAGTACCATCCTTTGACTTTAAGTTGTCATGATTTAGGGTTTAAATTTAGGGTTTAGGGTTTTAGGGTTTTTTGTTTTGGAAAGTAAAAAGACTTAAACCGTACGCAGGGATTGAGCATGTCAAAGGATATACAAGATTCGCCGCGGGCAAACCTAGGGTTTGCAGCGAGCAAGTATTACCGGTGTCATCAAGCATGTCTGGAAGTTCCAATTAAATTCAGGTTTATAGATATTGATAGCTGGAAATTTATCATCTATAAATCAGGTTTAAAGCTGGAAAATCATGGGTCTTTCCAGCCATGTTGGTTGTTCCCAGAGGTCACCATGGGTCGGTCACCATGTCACTCCTCTCCAGGCTTACAGCTGGGTACGCCAGCGATTCGTTGTACGAACCAACTGGTGCTACTGATGGAGAGAAGCAACGCGAAGACGATCAACGCGGGGGTGGCATACCTGGAATGGGATCATGGGATGGCGAGATACCAAGGGATCCAAGGGAATCCAAGGGACAAGATCATCATACCTAAATGGATAGGGATAGGCATCGGATAGGCCTGGGGAAAAAATATGATTATATATCCCATTTCAGATGGGCACAGGTATACTTTGTAATTACTTTATAAAATGATTCATACCGAAACAATTTTGCGAATCGGAAATCCATAGATCTGTGCCACGTAGACGAAGATTTGGATATTTGGGGTCAGACACAACGTGCTATCATCATATCTGCAAATCTGCACCACCAAAGCTGGAGACAATTCAACAGTAATTGCCCTCTGGTAAACTAACATAGCTATTGAACATGGCCATTTATAGTGGATTTACCCATAAAAAATGGTGATCAATAAGATTTGGTTTCAGACCATGAAGACCTCAAGTGTTTTGCAGCAAGTTCTCTTTGGTCTTCGCACATGTTCAGCACATTTTCGCTGAGAAAGCAATGTCAGGCCAATAAATGGAGTTCTTTTTATCTGGCTATGGGTCAAGACCCTGGTACCCGGCCCTGGTGAAATACCAAACAGCTGGTAAATGATGGTAAATGAGGCTTCATCCCGAAAATATAGCCCAATCATGTATAGCGTTTGATCCATAGCTAAAACACGCGCAGCTGACATCCCGCACCTGCTATGGTTCAGCAGTGCCCATTGCAGCCCCAGGGTCTCCTCTGGAGGTGCATGAAGTGACAGATCTATTGATGAAATTTTATGAGCAGGGGGGAATAGAATAAAAGTGATGGATAGATTCAGGAAGGGATTCATCAATCATCCTATCCAATATTCTAGATGCAAATAGAAGCCCAATGGGAATACTGTACATAGTAATTAGTGATCCCAACTTTTAGCACATATCGAAATATGAACATTAATATTCATGTCAACAACCATCTGCACAATATCTGCACCCCTCGACCCCGCACTGCATCCCCCCTGGTCTCCGGCGCGCAAAAGGCTGCGCGCATGGCATAACCGAAGTAAACCTCTATCAATTCAGTGGCTGGTAGAAGCACCTCACACGGAGAGACGGTCACCGCTCAGATGCATTCTGTGACCTGACATCCAAGAGATTTTGGATGATTTTGGTCATTCTGTTGGGAGAAAATCCAGAGAAAAATGGCATTGCGACATTCATCAAGCCAACTTTGGGTGTATTTGCCATTGAATACTATATTGATCCATCATCATATCAAGACATATCAAGTATATCCATCTGGCTACCAGTTAAGCCATCCTGCTCCCAGCGGTCCCAGAGAGGCTCCAACTGATGTGGTGAAGAGGATGGGGCCTGCCATCATCCCATATAAGAATGGAAGTTCCAGACATGTGTAGAATGTTTAAACATGTCAAACACCAATGAAGCTTTGACTTCAGCTATGGCAGCCATGGCTTCATCGCTTGTAGATGATATATATATATATATATGTATGACTTGTTGTAGATGACCTACGTCAAGCCTCTGGGATAAGTAGTACACATGTTCCACCAAATCCTTTCGGCGACTGTACAAGTGCAAAAAGGATGTGACATTGTGACCAGTTTTCTTGTGCGTGCACCCTCAATAGTTGCCAAAATGATTCCAAGGGATTCTAAGGGATTCAACGTCACAGGTTGTTAGAAAAACACTTCAGCCATCGAGACGTCTGCAGATCCATCAGAGTCTCTTTATTTTGCCCAAAGATCCAAAGGATTGGACACCTTTGGTGATGTCGGTGATGCCGACTGTTTCAACTGGTTTTACAAGACACCGAGCTTGGTGGTTTTAATCCATATCCTGAAACTTATCTATCATAATTCATAATTATCCACTTCATCCCCCAATGGCCAATTTTAATGTCATAAAAGTGAAGTCAAAATGTGGATAATTATGATATTGTTTTGATATAGCCATAGCTTGAAGATACCCAGTAAGTTTGAAATACCCAGCATTCAAACAGCAAAGAAAATGGACCTGTAAACCACCTGTCTTGGACCTGTGGAGATGGTAGCAAAGAAAATCAGGAGGAGGAAGGGCAAGTCGCACACTCTTGGGAAATAGCCTCAGACTCTGTCACTCAGCAGCCATGGCAGTTGATGTTCCAACATGAATGGGATGAGTCTGGGGGTATTCATGGGATTTGAGAGGATTTGATGAGATTTCATAAAATTTACAATTTGATTTCATGGCACTAGCAATGTGGATACACAAGCCATGGGGGTACCTAAGTTACGTAAACCTGTCACTATCAAATATACATGTATATATATACACATATGTATAATATGCTTAGATATATCACAATATCTCAAGCAAATCTATGACATATGACCATGGCATCGCCCAAGTGAGATCATTGGGATTGAGCACTGTTTCGGCCTGAGGTCTTTAAACATCACATAAACAATTCACAAATCACTATTTCAGTGTACCAAAGTCTCAAAGTCATCTGTGTTCCCTGAAACATTCTGCAATTTTCACTTTATAAGTATATATAATATATACATCTATATATATATATATGTATATATGTATATATTTATTCGTATTAAGTTATTTTATATTTATCCATATCTATCATCATCTATCCTAATATCATTTAATATCAGGTTCCATCCCACACGAAATTCCCAGACCTGAAACGGATCCAACGGATCCGTTGACGCGGACCGCCCCGTCACGAAGCCAGGCTCCGGCACCGGCACCATCCGAGGGCACCCCCGGCAAACCTCGCTGAGCACTGGGCCCACATCAACCCATCCGTGCCCATCCGCCAGCGGTCGGGGGTTCGCTTGGAGCGCCGAAAAGTGGATCGCTTAGAGCGCCGGAAAGTGGAGCCGAAAAGTGACATAAGAGATACATAGCGCTAGAGTTGCATATATGCACAGAGTCAAATATAGACACATACATGGATGCATTCATATTTCGCTGAAGCACGCAGGTAGTCACATGGGCAGATGCACGCAGATATACATTCAATGCGATCCGCTTTTCGGCGCTGGAAGAGCATCATACAACGTATCAGGAACATCTTGCAAGTTACTTGAAGAAGATATGACAACGTATCAGGAACACCTGGCAAGTTACTTGAAGAAGAGAAGAGTTTACATCGTATAAGGAACGTCTTGCAAGTCACTGACAAAAGATGTTACAACGTATCAGGAACATCTGGCAAGTTACTTGAAGAAGATATTACAACGAATCAGGAACATCTGGCAAGTTACTTGAAGAAGAGAAGAGTTTACATCGTATAAGGAACGTCTTGCAAGTTACTTACAAAAGATGTTACAACGTATCAGGAGCATCTGGCAAGTTACTTGAAGACGATATTACAACATAGCAGGAACGTCTTGCATGTTACTTGAAGAAGTTGTTCCAACGTATCAGGAACGTCTTGCAAGTTACTTGAAGAAGATGTTACAACGTATCAGGAACGTCTTGCAAGTTACTTGACGAAGATGTTACAAAGTAGCAGGAACGTCTTGCAAGTTACGTGAAGAAGATGTTGCAACGTATCAGTAATGTCGTGAAAGTTGCTTGAAGAAGATGTTGCAACGTATCAGGAACAACTTGCAAGTTACTTGGCGAAGATGTTGCAACGTATCAGGACCGTCTGGCAAGTTTCTTGTCATCCAAGGCAAACCTGCGTTGAACAGGTGTACAACAAGGATGTCGCGCAGATGAGAAGTGAAAATGAGAGAGAGCTAGCGTGAGCACCTTCAACATGCATATCCTTGAGACGCATATGACAGTATATGATATACATATATACATCTCAATATATATATATATTAATTGCTTTATTTTGTTTATTTACTTATATATATAGATTTATTTCTGTAGTTCCTATATTTCATCACACTGGTGTGCGACTAAAGGTCTCATTCCCTGGTGCCCTAATGTAATCCACCATGCTGGTCCCCTAAACCCATCCCATGTCCCAGCCCCGTGTCCCAACTTGTCCCCTAACCCGCCGCATGTCTCGGCCCCGTGTCCCCGAATGTTACCCTAAAGGTCTCATTCCACCGCTGGTCCCCTAAACCCATCCCATGTTGCAGCTCCGTGTCCCCACTTGTCCCCTAAACCCACCCCATGTCCCAGCCCCGTGTCCCCAAAGTGTTACCCTAAAGGTTTCATTCCACCGCTAATCCCCTAAACCCACCCCATGTCCCAGCCCCGTGTCCCCACTTGTCCCCTAAACCCACCCCATGTCCCAGCCCCGTGTCCCCAAGTGTTGCCCTAAAGGTCTCATTCTCTGGTGCTCTAAGTGATCCACTTTTTTGGTGCTCTAAGTGATCCCATGGTGCTCTAAGTTATCCGGTGCTCTAAGTGATCCACTTTCCGGTGCTCTAAGTGATCCCTTAACCTCCGCGGTCTTGAAATGCTTGAATCGAACGAATGACATGATTCCATTATGATCATTATGTGCCATTGAGCGGCGCCAAAAATCACGTACGAAGTTGCCCACATTTCGCTGCATACGAACGATGGTCTTGGCGATGATCGCTCTGTACCATCCATGCACCTTCGACAGAATGACGCAGCTGCCAAGACTGAGTTGAAGAGACTGAACAAACTGCAGACAGAGTTGGTACTTATGATACTTGTTTGCTGAAGTTAACGTTTGGGATATGGGGCAGCTCCACATTATTCCACATTGCGCTTTACAAGTAGATTCTCGTAACTCACTCTGGAAAGAAGAAACTTGCAAAGAAATACCTTGCAACAATGGTAACAGCAAAGCAAGCTCAACACCCAGCAGCATTAACGAAATATCACCTCTGGGAATAGGAACACCATCCATTGCCACGTTTGTTTCCTTCGGTCCCCTGTGGTGCCTCTGTCTCGGAGTGTGGGCTCTCTTGCGTCAGAACATGACTGGCGAAAGCGCCTGAAGGGGTCGAAATCACAGAACCCATGCGGGTAATCAAACTTGCTAATGGAAAATCCGTGCATCGTGTAGGAAAGTTACTGTACTTTTACATGAACGTATATATATATAGCTGTAGGAGACTTGCTATTGCCACGTTAGATTACCTGAATGCTGTCTTCTTGCAGGTCAAACTTTTCACATGATTTGTCTTGGAAATGTCAGACAAGGAAACGAAAAGATTGGACAAACCGACTGGCGATCTAGCCTGCGGGTAGTTTAGTATTCCCAGTGTTCAATGCATGTTCCTTAAAATCACAAACCAGTTTCTAGCTCAAAATGATTATGCAGGAATGAAATGGGCCTGCATTTGCCAGTCAATCTGATCTCCTCTATCTCCTCAACTAAGTCAAGGGCTCAGTAAGTAGCCTCCACCAGACACGGCTGCCAGGTACCTGAATTGCTCAATGATTGACAAGAGAAAAAACATGAAAAAACCATCTGTGTCAAAGGTTGGAAATTGCGGTGATTCATCTGCCGCCTTTCCATGCATTGAACCACCAATGTCACCAATGTCATTAACTTCCCGGGTGACTGTGCTGTGATTGTATAACTGAGAGCCAGACTCAATGTCCTGCGGATGCTTTTGGAGCGTCAAGACTGGGGATCTCAACGATAACTGCTATGTCAAGCACCAATTTGAAGGACTTTTCCAGAGACAATGACTCTACATCTGAGTCAAATGGTGGAGAATGACAAAAAATTGGAAGTTTTCGGCCAAACGTATCCAAATGATGAAATTAAACGTTAGGCAAATGCTATGAAAAAATGCAAGATATCTTCAAAAAATCATCACAAATTTGGAAGACAAAAACCACGACCACTGCCATGGCCTGAATCATTCCCGCATCTGCCAGCTGCCACAGCACACCAGACCTCAGGAGGCCAGTGACATGACAAATCTGACCCTACAAAGCATGAGGAAAAAAAATGAAAGACACACATTTTCAGCTTGCAAGCTGTATAGTGTATATATATATACACATATCATATAGATTTTTCATATCTATAGACCAATTCAACAATATGAAAAAAACACACACGCACACACACACACACATATATGTATATATATATATATACACGCGTATATATAATTCTGCCTCCGTGTGTGGCCAAAAAGGAACCCATCAAGCTGCCAAACCCCGCGCGTTTGCCCATTTGACATCGAGGAAATTTCATTGTCTTGCCGGATTGGGCGAGTCGATACCAGGGGAAATTAATTTTAGTTTTTTTGCCACCAAGCCTTGCTGGTTGATAGGGACTCCATTTCTTGGATTATGATAATCCCAAAGATTTTGGAAAGGGACATATAACATAGTATAACATAGCATAACCCCTTTTAGATCGTTTTAGTAGCCAATCAACGAGGATGTACGTCGCTCGTCCCAGTCAACATCTTCCACCCCAGCACTTCCATGACTGGTTCCCTGGCTGAAACGCAGCAGCGCGGATGCCACCACCGCTCAAGGCCACGGAAAAGCGCTTCCGACCTTCTCCTTCCGATGTTGGACGTCGGCCCCCGGTTGAAAAGTCAACAGCGGTTCTTGGTCACAGCAAATGCTTTCAAGAGAATCTGCCATCATTCCATCATTCCCCGCAACGAATGATGCTAATCTAGAAACTAGACTTGACAGTCACCCAATTTGAAATCCTAACATGTCCCAAGTCCCAAGTCCCAAACACCACAGAAATGACCGCAGCAAATGCTTCAATCTACAGCTGCGTTGAGCGCTGACCCCGCTGACCCCAGTAGAGTTCCTTTCCATCCAACGGCGCTACGCGCCCGAAACTTCTGTTCAATCAGCGCTTGTTCAGCTGGAAGGACCTGGAAACCCCCGTTGGGACTCAACGTTTGGGATTGGATGGGATCGCCTTATACGAAAAACAACGCCCAATTTGAGCCCTTGACCATGTACATATTTGTAGATATATGTATACATATATATATATATTATATATATATACACTTATTCTAGAGGTTCATAGATTCATTGTTGATTCTACTCTCAGATACAGAAAGACCCAGGTGCTCCGAGTTTTCCATCGTCCGAGACACGTCCTTCTCCCACTCCAGAAATCTGTCCTTGCTGCGATCCAATCATCAGGATTGACACAAAAACGGGACACCAGGTGGGTTCCTGACATGTAGAAACCACACTTCATGCGGCCTGTTTTGGCTTTTCCGACGTGGTGTGTCCTCTGTGAATCACAGAGGTCTCTTTTGAGCCTAACGACATGCTACGCATGCTGAGAAAACAGATCATTTGCTTTTGCATCTTGTGTTTGCAATTAGAGCGGCAGAACACACAACAAGATATCACGTCATCGCACCAAGCAGAAATGAGTCTTGGAAACATCATGATATCTGGCAGCTGAGGAAAGAATCCTTCCCCATCCCAGGTGCAATCTCCTGCTCATTGTTGAGGAGGTCCTGGAGCGGTGTCTGATATGATTATACTGATTGGTCATTTTACCCTATTGATTGTTCATAGGAATATGTTCCTGGGCAGCTGCCAAGAACGGGGGCTAGATCAAAACCCTGATACCCTTCTGTTTACCCCAAAATAGCTTGGAATAGCTGGATGTTCATTCCCCAAAATTTATGGCTTATGGAAATTATAGGTTTGGACCCATTCAAAATTGGGAAGCTTCCTCATGTGGTAATAACAAAAAACTACCATGTGGGGATGATTTTTTTTCCAACAATTACTCTACCAACCATCTAGTTTATGCTAGCGGATCTTTTACCGGCCCACAAAACTGGGGTGGGGTGGGGTGGGGATGTTAACGTTCACTGGCACTTGCACACATACGTGATGCTACGCCACTGCACGTTCTTCTGCAACTTCCACACATACGTGATGCTACGCCACTGCACGTTGTTCTGCAACTTCCACACATACGTGATGCTACGCCACTGCACGTTCTTCTGCAACTTCCACACATACGTGATGCTACGCCACTGCACCTTCTTCTGCAACTTCCACACATACGTGATGCTACGCCACTGCACGTTGTTCTGCAACTTCCACACATACGTGATGCTACGCTGGGGTGGGGTGGGGTGGGGATGTTAACGTTCATTGGCACTTGCACACATACGTGATGCTACGCCACTGCCTCCGCCGGAGTCAAAGAGAAGAATCTTGGAAACAGGAGCCATGTCTGACATAGGTCGAAAGGATAGTCGTGGAAAGACAACCTTGTTGCTTGCTGATGGAGCACCTTGCTACAAAGGCTTGTCAAAGATGTCCAAACTTCTTCTTCGACAATACAACCACTCCAAAGATGTCTTTTCGGTTTGGCGCTCAGTCCACGGATGCCTATTGGACTTTGCTGAAGGATGGAATACCAAATTCCATTAACAGCACAGTTGGTGGTAAGCCCAACAAAGTCTTGTGGAAGTACATGAGAAGTCAGCAGTGGCGTTGGGAATGTCATGACAAAGACATCCTGGCCGAAACTGGACAAACCCTGGCGGCGTTCTGAAAAACGAAAAAGGCGTGTCAGTATCCGACTCGTTTTAAGACACTGAACCCTGTAAGGGTTCACAAAACATATTTTTTTGGAAAAAAATAAGAGACTATTTGGCCTCAAGAAATTGACACGCTACTGTGGCGACAGAAAGATTTTATCATAATCGTGGGACGGTGAAAGATCCGGCGGGTAGTTTATGTCATTGGGTCTACAGTAGCACATTACCGGAAGGGTGCAGTAGGGGTTATTAACGGAGATAACCGGAAGGGTGGAGTTGGGGTTATGAATGGAGATACTGGTAGTCAAGGTTCCTACCCCCATCATGCCATAGCTTCGGATATAACATATCCTAAGCCAAGTCCAACTATGCTTCTATATTCAAATCCGCCCACACCGCTTTGGCGGTGAAGGCGTGCTTATTGGGGGGCAACAGCAACACTAAATGCTCAATGACATTTGTTAATATAGCAGTCGCTATATCAGCTTTAGCTGGGGGGGGGCCCAAAAACGGTTTCGCACCGAGACCAGAATACGGTGGTGTTTTCGACATTTTTCGAGGATTTTTGGGTGTCTGAGCGCAAGAGGGTATTGAAATGGAATTTTGGGTCATTTTGGTAGCTTTCCGGCAATGGAAAAACGGCCAAAAATGAAAAAAACATTGTACATAGCAAGATTTTGCAGGGTTTTTGGATGCCAGAGCATTGAAAACACTGCAAAAACAAGTGTTTTGGACTGACGTTAGAGCCAAAAAACGTGTAAATGACCGTATGCTTGACTGGAAACATTACAAAAACACTGTCAAAAGCAATGTTTTGGAAGGATTTACTGCCTTTATGGCAAAAAACGTGTAAATTACCGTCTGTTTGACTGGAAACATTGGAAAAACACTGTCAAAAACAATGTTTTGGAAGGATTTCTTATTGAAACTTCTTAGCTTGAAGAGCCCCCACGGGGGAAAACCACCCTTAGCCCCTCTCACGGACCGAAATAAACCTGCGGTGTGGGCGGCCACCCCACGCGAAGCGGGGTGAATATAGTCATCCTGGAGTAGATAGAATATGGACATTGCAACTTAAATCATCACTCAACCGCAAGAATATCTTTGAAAATCCCATGTATTCTATCATATTCACTTCATATTCATGAACATATTCAGGATGATTTTCGAAAACTGGAACTCCCCGGAGCCAGTCCTCCTCATATCTATCCGTCTCTTGACGAAGTTCTTGTGCCCAGGCATCCCCAAGATGGATGTCGTCCCCGGACCAATGGCTCTGGCGATTGCAGGGATGGAAAAATGAATGGATCTGCTGTGTATATGTATTGTGTTTCATGATATGTGTGTGTATATATATACAAATATGTACCTATGCATGATGATATCATCTATCTATCTGTCTGTCTGTCTGTCTGTCTATGTCTGTCTATATCTATCTATCTATCTATCTATCTATCTATCTATCTATCTATCTATCTATCTATCTATCTATCTATCTATGTATCTATCCAAATTCAAAAACAACATACCTGTATTAAGAACACGTACATTATTGAAGAAAGAAGTGGATAACTGGATAACTGACCATCATTCAGAAGCTAATTTGAGGCAACTTTTGAGGGCTCCCAAATATCAACAAACGTGTTTGGCCCGGTTGCACATGGGGGAGAGGTCCCCGCGGGATCCCACCTCCATGGTCGGCCAGCTATGGCAGCTATGTGCGTGAAATGCTGATGTTTAACGCTTAGCAGTTGGATCAAGCACTGAAGAACATTCACCAGTTCCTCTTGAATTTTGCTGCAACCACATAAAGTATCTTGTTTTCCCCAGTTTCTTGCTTTGGGCCGTTCTGTTGAACTTTAGATGGACAGCAAAGTCAGCCTAGTGCCATGTCATCCCAAGAGGAACTCCATCTGATCCAGCTGCTGTTGCGAAGACGTGCAGTGAACTGCCGCGCGTTGCACTTCACACACCGAAACCAGAGATCAGCCTTTTCCCAGGGCCTTTTTCCAGCTTTGCACCGGCACCACTGATGAGTATGTACACAGTTCAGGCAGCAAAACTGAATAAAACTGATTGTTCTGGTGTCTAAAACGGAATCCAGAAAGAAAGCTCCAGGATTGCAATTATAGATGGTTTATCCCATTATCATCCCATTATCGACAGTGTTTTTAATTAGTTTATAGTTACCAATAGTTCCCAACTGGTGCAGGATGACAAAATCAAAGCTACAGCTTTGGGTCAGGCACACAAGGCCCTCGGAAGCCTTGTGCATACAGGCCGCCATCAACAGAAATGACCTGTCATTGCGCTAGAGCTGTTATACTGCTCCACTGTTTCTTCTGGAAACGCAACCGAATATGAGTAAGTCATTGATTCAAGGTGATGGGTACAGTTTCAAAGCACCAAGATTGGGTACTTCTTCACATCCCAATTTGGCCTACTCTCTCATTTTTGGGAAGGTATCCATATCCAGATATACCTAGCTTTACAGATTGTGTCTGGTACCCGTTCTAGAACATGGATGGCTTGCCCCCAAGTCTCTGTCAAAGCTTAAGTATCCACCTTGTGAAAACGTGCACTCTCGAGATATCTACACATTAAATACATAGTAGAAATGTCCCCAAACTATCTCAAATACAACTATCCATCTTATATTATATACATAAAGCAATCATAGACGCAGGCATGGTGATGGGTCAAAACCCTGGTACCCTAGATACCCTAAAGTAGCTGGTGATTGGTTACATATATATATGTACATTATTTGGATCTTGATTCCCCAAATATTCCCGTTTTTGTGGTCATAACAGGTGTCAAACCCCATCCCCACATTGCTTCGTGCATGCTGTGCCTGTCCGGTGATGTAAGCAGCAGCGGGCATACCTGGAGAGCGGTCCCATAGTGTAGACTATAATGATGTAGTATCATGATGGATCACCATCTCATATAATGATGAATCATGAATCATAGCATCTTATTGTGATGTATCACCATACTATATATATATATATTATAATATCATATCACAAGATACATATAGATACATATTAATTATACTCATATTGATGCCAAATTAGCACGGAAATCCACCTTAAACAAAGTGCAAATAATGACTCGACCTGTCGATCGAACGCGCACAGAGGAAAGCCACCGTGGCTCCGGTGTCTTCCGGCTCGCCCAAACGTGCCAAGGGGGTGACCTGACCGAGAGCAATAGTTTAAGGGGTGAATCCGTGGTGCCGGACCTTTCGAAATCTCAACGGAAGCCCTTGCAACTTTATTATTTGATTGTCAGGGCATGCAAATTCCATCCCGATTTGATCGAGTTCCTATAGTCAAACCAGAATGAAACCAAGAACCAAAGGAAGACATCTTCACTCGGGACAATCATCAGCCCAAATGGATCCAAATGGTGTATTCTCAAGGACATTCCACTTACCATAGTTCTTACAATCTCACAGGGAGAAACCATCAGCTACCCCACAAGAAAAACAACGCTTGTCATTGGGGATCATCCTCCCAAAATATCCAAAATATGGTTTGAACACAACATCTATTTGACACCACCAGCCAGATAAGACCAGATGATAAATCTCTCCTAAATATTTCAATATCTCCAGACATGGAGGCATGCATGCCATGAGACACGTTTCACATCTTCCAGTTGCTGAGGATTGTTTTTCACCTTGGTTCATGGTGAGACGGTCGTGGATGCACCGCCCAAGAGAACTCACCAGGGTTTAACCAACCAAAAGGCGGGTTTTTTTCATGGCGAGGATTTAGATCGCCAAAGATTACGGCACTGAAAATATCCAAGAACAATTGGATTTACCACGATTTTACCACCGTCAATGAAAGGCTCACCCTTTGGAAATGCTGTGTCTATCGAGCGGTTGGGCTGATGATGTCATCCATTGCCCTCCAGGGCTGGTCTGAGAAGCCCTCACTGCTTCTTCGAGAAGTGGGGTTCTTGCCATCCAAGGGCACACCTCAGAGTCATGCAACCAATGGGGATAAGGCAGCAAAAACTGAAACTTTCACCGCAGTCATCCCAGAATTTCTATGAATTCCTGAGTTCACTTAACAACATCCATGCAATAGGTTGGAATGGGTTGGTGTTTGGGGTCGCAGTTCCCCCATGTACGCACTTGCATGGCCACCTGTCTTTTTCCAAGTTCAACACAGGTGGTTTGAAACTGAGGCTCGAAATGAATCTGGATTTTTACTCCAAACCCTTGTTTCAACCAATAATATTCACTCCAAGGGTCACAATTCACACGGATGCCCAACGGGCCCCATTCACCTGGGCGGACATCAGCTCTGTCACTACCCATGCCTGGTACCCTGGAGAACAAATCAGTCAATTTTCTGTCCCGTATTGTATATTATAGTTATATATGTAAGTATACAATTATATGTGTATATATATATATATATGTATAATTATATATAATTCTATATATATAATTCTATATAATTATATATATAATATTATAATTATATATAATTACGTATATATATATATACTTATATATATGTGGACATGAAAAACGAAAGCACCCTGCGACCAAGCACGCATGTATGAAATGTTCACTTAATTGACGGACTCCTTGGGTATGTTCTGCCTGTCACGCCCCTGCGGTCCGTTGCAAAGACTGCTTTTCTTGTCCAACAGGGATGCTTGACTGAATCTCAATTTTGCATTTCGCTGAACAACTTGCTGGTGTGCATGCCTTTTAGCACGCACAAGGAGTTGAATACATCAAGTTTCCAATGTTCAAGTATCAAAATCACACCACCACAAGCAGGGTTTTTTTTTATCTACACCACCAACCCAGGTAACTTTTTCTTCCCCAGAAACTGTGGATTTCATCTGTGGCCCTCACAAGCAAGACTGCAAGCAAGATGAGCGATGGCCTCAAAAATCAAGAGACCATGGATGGCTTTGCCACTTTAGGATGTTTTGGGTCTTCACCTGAAAAATGAATATATAATGATGTATATATATATATGTGTGATAGATAAGGATACTAAATATATATATATATATACATGGATGCTCCCAAATCAATTTGTCTGGAAATTGAGTACACCCTTTCAATGGCAATTTTCTTAATAGGGAAATGATGATTAACCATGATCAACCAATGGATTTAGAGGTACCAACCTGTTCACAATCTCTCCTGCTTTCCAAGATTCCCCCCAAGAATCCAATTGTCAACTGCAATTTTATCAGCATCCCCCTGTTTCAGAAGCATTTCTTTCCTTAAAATCCAGGGCCCCCAGACGGCTTTCGTCATGGCATACACTGAGCCAGTGCCAGTGCTGCGCACGCCAGCAGCACTGGAGATATTCACCTCACAGCTTTGTCTGAAAAATTGGGTCTACCCAAAATCCACTGGTAAATTCATATGGGGTGTTCTCAAGTCAATGGGGATCCCCAAGTAACCATGGTTGTTTCAATATGTTTCAATACTAAGTCATGGTCATCCATGACGACTGGATGATTTGGGGGTACCCCCATGACTTAGGAAACCTCCATATTATTTCTGGGAAAATCTAGAAACATGTCCATTTGGATCCATTTGGCAGATATATCCTCACTTTCAGACACACCCACATTGTATGGTGGATCATATTCCCGGGGCATGTTCCAGTGATTCAGAATGGTAGTCGAAGCCGGATATACTGACTAGCTTTTCAAGCTTTTCAAAATATGTTGATATACAATGATATACATCTTTGGGATATTCAGGACAGTCAGAAAGTAAGGATCCTGTAGTACATTGACATTATTCCCAGTAGATGCAGATCCCTTTTTCTACAGAGGTATAGATACATCCAGCGATTCACTTTTGAAAGCGGCTAGCACTGCCAAGTTTCACAGCTACTAAACAGTGTCACAGTTTGACCTCAACCTGTTGATATTTTTTGGGCGGAAATAGCTGATTTTCCTGCCATTCCTGCAAGAAAAATGGTCCTCCTCCATTTCAATGGGGTTTTCATCAGAAAACCATCCATTTTGGGTTACGTTACCCCCATGTATCGAAACCACCATGTGGAAAGACATGAATTTCTCCCAAGGGAAAACTGCGAGCATTTCCAGGACAAAACAAAACAATATCAAGTCACGACCGACGCGCGGGAGGAACGCTCCAGCATGGGTTTGAACATCTTACCTTGGGAAAAGCGATGCTGCAGGGAGGTGGATCCTTCCCAAAAATGGAGAAGCAAAATCCAGCAAACTGGCTTGTGGATGGTTGGCAACCATGGCCAAATACCTGGAATTTAGAATTTTGCAAGGTGTTGACTTTGGTCCAAGTGTATCACATGTGAACACGTGACTTGGTTCCACATCTCTGTCAAGATGGAAGGACTCATATGCACATGGCACGCATACAGAGCAAATGTAGATTCACACCAGGCAAGCTGTGTGACATGGGAAAGTCCCAAAAGTCGCTTCCAGAAAGCGTACCACAAAAAGGATCAAAAAGGTAGGTTTGTTGTTGCTCTGAAGACACGCGCTAATTGCAAGACTCAAATCCACCCAAACGACCAAGGTTCATGTTCCCAAACGAAGAAGCATATCAACCACATCAGCCATCAAAGTTAGAAAAACAAATCTCCATCTTATCATTTTCAGCCAGAAATATATATATATATATAATAATATATATATATAATAATATATATAATAATATATATATAATAATATATATATAATAATATATA